AATTCTGGAAGAAATTATATGCCACCGCCCTATTGGTTAAAGGGAAATTCACCTTTTCTGTCTCTCATAATTGTAATCTCTTTATGGAGTGGGATCATTGGTGCAATGGGAGATCTCTTCACGATATTCTGCCTACCTTTAGGTTCATGAATTCTTTTGTGAACTCTTATTATGCTAACAATTGCTGGTATCTTCCCCCCTCTACTCCTTTTCTTTTGAGGAATGAAATTACGGGTATCAACATTGAGAATCAAACGGCTGTGCTCTGGGAGGACTCAGTTAAACCTTCTTTCTCTATCTTTTATACAAGTTATTTTTATAATCTTGAGGAGGGTAGTTGGCACAAATTTATATGGCATAAAAGAAAATCCGTTCGGTTTTTCTCTTATTCTTGGATGGCGTTGCTGGGCAAATTAAAAACAGCTGACCTGCTTATTCTGAGAGGGATTGATGTTATTCCCTCTTGTGCTTTTTGTTTGAATGGCTGTGATAATCACTCTCATTTATTTTTTGCTTGTGATTACTCCTATTCGGTGATTGTTTCCCTGCTGCCACCTTTGGATGTCTTTCTTCTTAGGCCTAACTTGCTTCATGTTTTTGAGTATATTGATGATTCCCAGGATTTGTGTAGTTGGGAGAAGGTTTTTTGCTATTTTACTATCTGCAACTCTATTTACTACCTATAAAAGGAAAGAAATTCTAGGAAATTTGAAAATGTTTGGATCAGTCCCACTCAGCTTTGTAGAATTATTCGCAGAGTTATTCTTGCAAAAGTGAAAAAATGGAAACATTTTGATGATCTCGACAGACGTTTTGGCATTTCTGGATAATTAATGGCTGCCGTTTCTTTACCGTATGTGGGTTTGGTGAGAATTGTTAACCATTTTGTTTTTGGGGTATTGTCTTGTTCCTGCAACTTACTGGATGTGGAGATATTTTTGGAAGGATGGAATGTTCTGCTGGGAAGAATATACGGTGTTGGCAATTTACGAGTCCCTTCGCCCCTTCGTTCTACCTGCTATGCCTGAACTAGACGATGATGTTGCTCCCATTAGTAGAGCCCTTGGACGGTCTTCAGGCAACCAGGGTTCCAACTTTTTTGCGTGCTTAATTTATTTCCTGAGTCCAGTTCGCTTTGGCTTGGGAGCTGGGTTTTTTCTTTGCTGCAGCCTCTGGGGCTTAACTGAATTTTTGGTGCTGTTGGTCGACTGCTGCACGTCCTCAAGTTCCAGTTTTGGTGCTCCAAACCACAATTTTTGGTCTTCCTTACTGAAAAATTACATGTAATGGGTGGTTTTGTTGGGGTTCCTCTTCCTCTTGACCCTCATAAGATTTTGTTTTTCTTGGCTTATGTTGGGTTGCTTTTACTTGTAATTTTTTACTTTTCTTCTCTTAATATATGGGCTTAGGCCTTCTCCAGCCAATGGCGTTCGTCCCAATCGGACGGCAATTTCGCCGGCATTTACATGCCAATGAACAGTGCGACGCCAAATTTGGCGTCGCACTGTTCATTGGCATGTAAATGCCGGCGAAATTGCCGTCCGATTGGGACGAACGCCGAACGCCATTCACGCGTATGCCAATCGGCTGGAGAAGGCCTTAGTATCACTTCTATTCTCAGCCTTTTCTTATTTTTAGTTTGTGTTTTAAATTTAGTTTGGATTTTAAACAATAACTATTTATTCATCTTTATTTAATTATTATCAGCAAATTATAATTATAAATAATATAATTAGAAATTAGTTTAATTATATAATAATTTAATTAGTGGTTTAATTATTAATTACAATTCTAATCATCAATATTTAATTGATAAATTAAATTATAAATAATATAATTAAAAGATATATTGATAACTGAATAATTAGTTATTTAAACTACTAATTATTTAATTACTTATTTCAATGTTATTTAGACTACTAATTATTTAATTAAGACTTTAATTATTATTTAATATTTGAATATCTATCAATTACTAATTCTTTTATCTTCTGTTAGCCTTAGGCCTATATAAGGATTGTTATTCCTCTTCTTTATTGTCTTCGCCTGGTAATTTGAGGTAGAGTTTTCTTCATATTGAAAGCTTCTTCGCCTCCTTTAACAACGTTTCCTTCTCATCGGATCGAAAGTCATAACAGATATATAACGTTCTTCCTTCGCCTCCTTTGACGACATTCATCGCCTCCTTCGATGACGCGGGAGCTCGCTCGCTGCGACGGTAATCATCTTTCTCCCCTTTTGTGGGCTTCTTCGGCCAAATCTTGTAATTCTGCATAAATCCTCCAAACCATATGTTTAGTAAATGTGGGATTTACAGCGAAAATGGGGAAACTAAGGATTTGATTCGCGGTGAGATTTAAGATTGCCTTTTTTCTGTTTGGCAGGATTTAATCCTGCGTAAATCCGGCTTTAAATATGATAGCAAACAACCTTAGTGCAGGATCATCCATGGTAATCCAAACAACCTTAGTGCAGGATTTTGTAAATACTGTAAAACCTAATTTAGTAAATTCTGGATATATTAAATCCTAAAAATTATTTGGCAAGATTGTTGTTAAATCTCATTAAATATAATGAAATTATTTAATAATATAATCCAGAATTTAAAATGAATAGTTTATTTAAAAATTAAATTTAATGTGATAGGTATAAATTACTTATTTATTTCAAATTTAATTATCTCAATAAATTATATTGATAAATTTTATAATTAAATGATTGTTTGATTATCAAATATTTTAACTATTAATTTTATTACTTATTATAGTACTAATTATTAAATTACTTATCCAATCTTCTTAATTTAATTGTGTTGATAATTTTTTATTTAATTACTTTATTATTTTTTGAAATAACTAATTATTTAATAAATAATCCTACTATAATTTGATTAATTATATAAGTATTATTTAATTTATTTTTCTTATTAATTATCTCATTAATAAAAAAAATTATCTCATTAATCTAGGATTTAGTAAATCTGGGATTTACGGCAAAAAGCGGGAAACGGGCATTTATTTAGCCGCGAGATCTACTGGGTGCTCAAATCCCGTTTGGCGGGATTTAGCATAAATCCTGTTGCCAAACAGGCCCTAAGAACTATTACGCTTCCGATAGCCTTAGGCCTACGCAGCTTTTTGTTTTTCCTCTTCTCCAATTCTCGTTGCTGCTACTTCCACTGCTTTGCTTGAGGTAGAGTTTTGAACGGATCGCTAAATGCCTTTTTCGCCTCCTTCATGACGTTCCTTGCTGTAGGATCGTAAGTCATGTCGGTTCGCTGTTCTTCCTGTTGAATCGGAAGTAACGAGGTAGCTCGCTCGCTGCGAAGGTAACCATCTTTCTCCCCTTTCTCAGCGCTTCTTCCGCCAAAACCCATAAATCCGCCGAGCTCTCGGATTTGTAAATCCAGTATTTACGGAAAAAAGGGGGAAACGGAGTATTTATAGGATTTGAGATGTCCATTTTTTTTTGTGTTTGGCAGGATTTACCGTAAATCCTTCTCAAATCCTGTATCAAACAATCCTTGGTGTTTCTTGACGCAGCCATGCTTTTAAGTACTTTACTTTTGAATAAAGAGGCTTTGCATTAATTTATTTGGTTTTTTAGATCTTTTTGGGGGATTGATAAACTAGAGCTTCGAAATTGTCATGGTTATGGGCACCTTTAGACCATCTCCAACCGTTCATCAAACAACCGAATGGAGGCCCTCAAACGTAGCAATCTAACGCCATTTACTCCGTCATTTGATCGCAGTTGAACAGTGCGACGCCAATATCTCACTGTTCACTTGCGCCATTCTTTTCTCTCTCCCAAACTTGCCTAAGAATGGCGCGAAAGAAACGAGCAATGGTTAGGGGGCAAAATGGCATTCCATTGGAGATGAATCACAACATTTTTTGGTTTTATTGCATTTTGCAGTGAAAAATGAGAGTTTCGGTTGGAGATGCCCTTACTAGGGTCATCCTTTTATGCTTTAGGGGCTTAGGGTTTTGTGTTGAACTTAGTCAAGAATTTCGTCTGCCCAGGGATTATAGTTTGCATTGGGGCAAAAATCAATTTTGTTTTCGAGTTTTGGGCTTAATTTTTTTTTACTGCTACTTTCTTTTTGAAAAACCTACTAGAAAATTTTGAGTATTGTGACAAGCATAGACTAGAAGGCTCTATCTTGCACATGTGCACCCTCTCCATGGCTTCATGACATGTACATTACATTTACACAATTGCTGGTTGAGGTAGCAATGATTTTGTTTAAAACAAAACACAAAATTCCCAAGTGAAGCCTTAGTTTGATGGGTGTGCTAAAGCTGAATATGATACCATCATGGTTCCTCGGAGGTGCATTTTTTCCCATAATTTTGTTGCGCCTATCTACCTAAACAACAACCAACATTGTCAAAGTGATACAAACGATGATAGATTTCTTTGCGTTGTTCATTTTCGACACAAAAATGCTCAATTACAAAGCTATCGTGCATTTTTTAAAGGGATCATGCTTTTAAGAAAATGCCTTGATAGCATTTACACGCTACCTCTATCATTGTATTGTCATTTAGGGGCCTCAGACGGTGATCTATGCCAACTAAATTCGATAAGTTTTTTAGAATGAGAAGTTTGAACTTTTTTGGATGTTGTGTTTTGTTGGTAGTGAGGCCTGCAATGCTTTATGGTGCCGAATGTTGGCCATTAAAAGAGAAGCATAATACTAAGTTAAGTGTGGCAGAGATGAGGATGCTCAGGTGGATGAGTGGATTTACCCTTAGAGATAGGATACGAAATGAACATATACGTGAAAAGGTTGGAGTAGCTCCAGTAGAAGATAAGATTAGAGAGAGTCGCCTTAGATGATTTGGTCACATAAAACGGCGGCCTTCCGATGACCCGGTTAGGAGAGTAGAGGTATTAGATTTGACTTATGTTAAGAAAGGTAGGAGTAGACCTAAAAAGACTTGGTTAGAAAATATTAGGAATGACCTTTCTTTATTAGATTTAAATGAGAATTTGACTTTTAATAGGACACAATGGAGAAAAAGAATTCATGTAGCCGACCCCACGTAGTGGGATAAAGGCTTGATGTTGTTGTTGTTGTTGTAGAAGTTTGAACTAGCATAGAACTAACTAAAAATTTCTCACCATGCTTTATCATCATAGCAATCATTTTGTTCAAGTTCTTTTGTTAGCGACCTTTCTTATACATTTTGAATTGAGCGATTTAAATCTAAAAGTCTTTATTTGTCATAAATGTTGGTTGTAAGCATTGAAATTATCACAATGATATTTTGAATTTTGATGTTGTTTTAAATATTTATTTCTAATTTTTTGGTTTATTTTTGTCGTAATATGCTTATGATGTTGGTGCTTATGAGAAATAGATATCTCCTTTGGTTTTTTATTCACAATAATGGTATATTTCATTTGTTTCACAATGCTGGTATTTTTTATGAGAGCTAGATATCTCTATGATCAGTTTGGTTTATTGCTTAGATCGCAAGCACATTTATTTAGCTTCATTGGATTCCCAAGCTCAGTTGCTTCAAATCTTTATTTAGCACATATGATTTGTTATTTTTGTCCAACCATTGTTTGAAAGTTTATTGATTGTTATTAAGTGGTATTGTTGTAATTAATTTTCTTCCATTGCCATTATTTACTTGTGTTTTAGGGGCTTCCCTATTAGCTTCTCTAATTTACCTTGTTTCATTTTTGTTTGTACACTAAATCCAGTCCAGATCTTTTTTCTTCTCTTCACGATTATGCTATTGTAGCTAGATACATGATATCGTGTTTGTGGATATTTTATTTCTTGGTTGTTTGTTTAGAGTTATTATACTTGTTAAATATCATTACCTTCTCTTCTTAAGTCTATTCAATATACGCTGGCCAAAGAATCATACTTATTTAAACATGATCTTATTGAAGAAATTATAGTTTATAATTATCGTTTGAGGATATTTTATATATAGAAGATGATTTGTAGTTACACTATGAGGTTATATTTGGTGTTAAAATTTATATTCCGACCCATATTAGAACATATTCATGAAGACAAACTTTTATACTTGAAAAAGAGTAAACAATTGAGATTGAAATCATATTGGAACTTAAACCTTTGAGTGAAATTGAATGCAGTCATGAAAATGAACTTAAAACTTAAAATTGTGAAAGTGTTATAATTTGAACTTAAAATTGCATATGAGTATGAGATTCGTTTTAAATTTAAACTTTCATCAGAAATTAAAAATGAACTTATGATTAGATTTGAAGCTAACTACATTTAGAATTTGAATTTGATCTTTATTATGAATATGATCTTATAATGAAAATTGAATCTACCTTTGAATCTGACATGAAATTCTAAAATATATTGAATTTAGTTCTGAATGTGAGCTTGAACAAATTATGCATGTTAAAGTTAATAAACCAAATAGAGAGTATGATTTAAATTTTAATCAAATTTTAATTAAATTGTTTTAACAAATCAAACTAAATTGTTTTATTTTGGTTATTAGTTCTTTGATGCCTAAACTCTTGAAAAGAATTTAATGTAGAAATATTAGGTTGCATCAATATTTCAAATAATTAAATAATTTCTAGTAGTATTTGTCTTAAAAGCATTACATTCAAATATCATCTATTTGGCTAAGGGTTGGTTTGGGGTGGGTACAATTGTTTGCAAAGATAATTGTGAATTGTTGTGTAATAAAAGTGGTTTTTTTTTTTATATATATATATATATATATATATATATATATATATTCATTTAGAAAAAGTTGGACAATTACAGAGGAGGAAGACATTGTTTAACATATCTATATTACTATATTGTTTAATTTCCTCATTCACTTGACTATATTTTGAGCCAAAAATACTAACAATTTATTAGAATATGATTCAACTAACACATTAAGAAGGTGGGAATGGATGGGAGGTATTAATTTAGGTTCATGTTTTTGGAGCAAGAAATTAATGTTTTATTAGTAAAAGAACTAGGAAATTACAGAGGAGAAAGACATTGTTTTTCTGACCCCTTTTTCTCTTTGATTTTCTAGTTCCTTAGAGTTTCTTTCTGAAAACTTTCTCTTAATATTTTGATGTTCAATCTGATTGATCCCTCGTTACTCCCTCCTTTGACTTTACTTTATAATGATAAAGAATATCAGCTGCATTAAAATGCAGGAAATATTATTATAAGAAATCATGATTACAAGTTTTGAGGAGATGATACTAATTTTAGCATCATTTTTGTATACTATTAGAACCAAACTGACACTATAATTTCTTGACAACAATCTTCTTGACCATGATGTTGCTTAGCTATTGGGTTAATATTTCTTTGAAACATTTTGGGAGTTCTTCCTTCCCTTGTCAATTATTGCAACTTCAATAGGTTTCTAGTCTTCTCAACTTAAATTTCAGGCCCCTTCTTAATAAGTCAACTAAGTTCCTAATCATACACCCCTTCCTTTGAACTGGTTCACTCTAATGAATCAAGCGGAAGGAGAGTGGCAATTCAATTTTTCTCTTTTATGTCAAGAAGATAGCATTTATTTTATTACGAATAAGATCATCTATGGTAGAGAGAGCATATTAACCACCTTAGTCTCCACTACCTTATAGCTTAGTTTAACTACTATTAGTATGCGAACTCTATATGTTTTTATGAACATTTAATTGTGTCTAGAGGTATTGAAGTAGCTTGTGGTTTTTATGAAAAGTTGTTTGTTTCTTTACTAGATAAGGTCACCAGCGCTTCAGTGCTTCATGAGGCATGAAATTTCTTTATCATATGTTGGGTTGTTATTCTAAAAACCTTTTAACAACTTAGAATTAGATGATATAAGTCTCTCGTTTTATGTCATACCCACATCTATTGCATATTCGAAATCATCAACTTTAAATGGATCTATAAGATGAACAACTCTTTCCCATAAAGGTCAAATATTGTACACTTCTCTATCCAATTCAACAATTCCATTAGGGAAATGTTGGAGTTCGGTTGATTTACCTGACTTTAATGTTTGATCTTGGTCCACTATAGTGACAATCTTCTTTCCATTGACATCCCATTTAAACTTCTTTGGGAGGCAGCAAGAGCTCTAGTTGTAGTTTCCAACACTTTACTTTATTATGTTATCAGTAGCAATGGTCAAAATAGTGGTTATTTTCATAAGAGGTTATTATGGCATTTATCTTTCTTAAATTTTATTTTTTGGTTCCACTTTTTTTTTTTTTTGTTGACAACTTTTAATTCGTTTTCCTTCTTTTCATTAGAGGGATTGCTAACTTGGGCTTTCTTCCTTTTCTTAATTTCCATGAAAAATATGTTTCCCTGTTGGGATCTTTGACATGGAAATGCTATAATGCAACTTTGCCGTGTGCGATATCAAACCATAATGTATTTTAGCCAAATTTTGGGGCTGTCAAAAATTACAATTCCAAGTTTTCTTGGGTTATAAATAGGACCCTAGAGCATGTGAAAATTCATTTCATACTTAAAAGAATTTCATATATCCTTTCAAATTTTTGTTATTGTATGTGACTTTTTTGAGTGCGACATATATCTTGATGACAAATTTATGAGAAGTTTTTTGTTGTGCTGATGTAAGACCAGAATTATCATATGATTATTTTAATTTTTTTTTAAATATTTGAGGAATCAAAATGGTCCTTCAATATAGTTAGGGATAATTTTAGTTCTTTGTAAAGAGTCAATGGATCATTTTGATTAGGAAAATATCATCAATGAAAAATTATGCGTGTGGAATGAATGTTAACAGATTGACTAAGAAATATAGTTGTGCTGCTTTTATCTATTGATTGTACTTGATTTTTCTCTTTTTTTGTATTTTTTGTTAACTTTTAGGTGTTCTTGTTTTATTTGTTTTCATTGTTTCTGACATCACACTATGCTCATATTTTGTTTTTCATTATTCTCTATATTTATCTCATTGCTCAACACTTAACTTTATAGACTGTTGCTTTATATTAGTCACAAAAAATGAAGCAGTTCTTCATTTGTTTGCTTGCAACATATTCGTTAATGGGCTGGGAAAAAAGGTTGTTAGATTTTGCTTTTAAGAAGTTTATGTCATCAGACTTAACTGCTTATTTAACTTGTCGTTACTTACTGCACATCTAAGTACATGTAAGTCAACTTTTTGCTTATTGACAAGAGTACATTTGTGAATGAAAATTGAGTGAGTTTATTCTTAAATACATGCATGTCATTTTGTTCACAGATATGGGGGATAGTAGTTGTCCTACCCAACTAATTGATCGAGATGGTGTATACAATGTCTCTGGAATGGAGAATTTCATGGAGACTATGAAACTTGGTGAATGTGGTGTCTCATATGCTATAGTCTCCATACTGGGTCCTCAGAGTAGTGGTATGTTGCTTGGTTTATTCTTAATTTGGATTAAGTTTTTTATTTTTTTTTCGTGCTCTGAGAGTAACATTTCACAATTTTCTTAGGTATCTCATATTATTGTAATTGTATGTCTTTAGATTCATCACTTTAATTTCAAGAATTTTTTAGTAGTCATGTCTTTTTTGCAGCTTTTCTTGCCACCCTTAAAAGAGAAAAAATTATTTTCTGTAATCATGGCTCAATGCTCCAACATGTTAAATTTTTTTACACAAATTTAAGAGATAAACCATTGATACAGAATTTATGTAATTTTATTCACTCCGGATTTGAAAATTTTTGTTCACTCCTGGCAAAAGAAGGTAGAATAGGAACCTAGAAGTTAGATTTTTCCTTCAAATTGTTAGCTAGAGCTAGATATGCCTAAATTATTGCATTGACTTATGAAAATATCTAGGACAGAGGAGTGGTTACATGAGACTTACATTCAAGCGGTAGTAGCTTGTATAAAAGTAGCGCAAATGTTTGGGATTGTCTTAGTCGTGTTTGCTATGTGTTGTTTCCAAGTTGCTTTTTAAATACTGTTTTGCAATTTTATTTTGTGCAGTAAACACAATGAAAATCATAGGCCGATGCATGTATCATAGGCATGATCATAAAGAAAGCACTTGTTGAGTTGCTTGTCAATCATTGCAAGAGCAGTTGTTGCTTTATTTTGTTAGATAGAACTCAACATGATATTATCAAATGAATCCTAATTATATAAAGAACATTATATAACACCAAACATAATGTAGAATAGGGTCAATGGAAGTTTTGCACCTCCCTAAGATTTTGGTAAACTTTCTTTGGCACCCTCTTCGCTCTAGATTATAATTCCATCAGTGATTACAAGGTAGCTAGTTTAAATGCTAATCAATTCGGTTAATGCTTGTGTTGATAAAATATTATAATGAACTACAATAATATCACAGTACGCTGAACACATACCCAAGTTAAAAGGAAAAATTGAATACTTTTCCTGTTATTGTTTGGTATTATTAACACAAATTCAAAACTAAAAGATTTGAATATTCAAATGACCTAAGACATCATTTTAAAGATAAATTAAAACTTCCAAAGTAGAATTGTGATGCACATGCTAGACTACATATATAGTAACTTGTAATGGATTACTAGGCTAAGAAACAACCAAGTAACTAAGAACTATAAATGATATTGAAGAGCACAATAATGGAAATAGTAAATAATTATGTATTCATGAACTTCTTTGAGGTTGAGTGTGTAATGATATGCTTGTAAAGAACTAAGGCCAGTAGATCTTTGAGGCGGATAAGTTTGAGTGTTTTTGAAAAAAGCCTCTAAATCCATTCTTAAATTAACTTGGCCATGTATAGAAAGGAGATTCAGTAGAGTTACGCCTCTATTTGAAGCACACACATGTAATGGATAAACCAAACTATATGAAACTTTGATAAGATAAAGCATCAATTTGCATAGAATCAGAATTATGATATCAGTACGTGAGAAACCATTTAACCATTGCCTTGGAGAAAAAGAAAAAAAAAACAAGTAGAGGACTCACGCTTTGCTTAGATGAAAGAAAGAAAAATGCTTTTCAAGTTCATTTTGGCTAACATCCAATAAAGCCACAAAAACGTGGTGCAATTATTTTTACTTTTTCTATTACTTGTGCTACAATACCTCATAACTTTGAAAAAGTGAGCATTGCGTAAGCTTGGGGGTTGTTGGTGCTAGGAAACTGTGATTGAGAAATGTTACTTATATGGAGAAATAATGTTTTCATCAAGGCAAGTTTTTATAATGTAGCAATTTATGTGGTTATAGCGGTCTGGACCAGCTATTGTCTTTATTTTAGAATATTTATTTTTTTAATTAAAAGAGTCAACATGAAATTAAATTGAGCTGAAATAAAAATTTTGAGTTTAAGTCAAGCTTGTCTTTAAAATTAACTCTCTCTTATCATTTTTCTTAATTTATAGACAAATAGATTTTACTCTCGCTCTTTTACTTTCTCTTTCAAAAATTTTAAAAGAGTTTCTAGGTCAAAATAAATAAGGCTTCTTTCAAAAATTGATTTCTCAGATCTTTGACAGTGATAAAATTTTAAATTAAGAACATAAAAAAAAGATATCAAAATAGAGCCATCTATTTAAATCTTGAATAAAAAAAATTATTTAATTGTGGCTTATTACATTTATGTCGATAATATAAAAAGATTAATGCTTATAGTTATATAAATTTAGAAATATGAAGAATTTAAGTTGTAGCAGAAGAGATAGATAGAAAAGGAAAGAGGAAAACGAAGGGAGAAAAGTTTCTAAATGAATAAATAATAATAAATTAATGTGTTTTGCAAGATTTATTTATTTATTTTATTATTTCAAGTTCTCTCATCTATTACATCAGTTATAATTCTTTTTTAATATAAGCATAAATTTTGAATTTTTTATGAGAGACTCATAGGGATAGAAAGGGTGAGAGCTTATTTTATTAATTAAGTTTCTATATTAATTAAGAAGAGAATTCAATTTTTAAAATAATACATAATAAATAGATATAATTAGAATAGATATTAGGCTGATTAAATTTACTTTTTTTTTCTCGACTCCAAATTTTGAAAATGGCTTAATATTCTCTATATAGGTATATATTTGATATATGTTACTTATTCCTTTTTAAATCGGAATTCGTTTGTTCTCTCATTTAAATAATAAACTTCTTAGGAAACAAAAAAAAAAAAAGAAAACTTTGAGAGAGCTCCATTTTGAAATAGAGCTCTCATGTTATTTTGAAAATTTTCAGACAATTTTTTATCACTAGATTATCTAAAGGATTAAGAAAAAAGAAAATGAAGAAATGCTTTTTGGATATAATTGAAATCATGGTGAGCCTATCTCAAAAGAGAATGTTCTTGACTTTAATACCATATTTAGTACCCCCTTCTGATGTGAAAGAATCAACAAAATTGCAAGATTTTATTAAGAAATTTGTTTTAGTAATGATTTTATAAGATTAATGTTTCACTAAGTAGGATTTTCAGATTTCGTAGTTATTGACTTGCTTCTAGCATGCGGTTACACGGTAGATTTACAGAGCGATTCAAAATAATAACAAGACGATAGCAAGACAAATATGTAAGTAACAGTAATCCGGCACTTAACAAATAGAACTTTTACCTTCGAGTTTCCCTCTCGATCGCTCCTTAGTAGTAGGGTTAACGGAGGATGAAGGTTAGAAAACCCAATGACGCCAATGAAAGACAGAAGAGGCCGGCGGTCTTGATCAACGGTGAGTTGGCTGGAGTTGGAGAGACGGGGGGTCGTCCTGCGATCTTCCATGGGGGGGGGGCGGGGTCGGTCTGCGATCTTCCACGATTCTATAGGTGGTTGATCTTCTATGACGTTCGCCAAAGTAAGGAGAATACGCTCCATGTATTCTTCGACGGTGCCTTCGGATCCAAATTCGGGACCGAAGAAAGGGGGTTTAAGGATGTCGTTTTCCTCTTGAGAATTGCAAACGAATCCGTAATCAACATCCGGATCCGCCATCCATGAGCTTGAGGGTAGGCGAGTGGTGTTCTATGGTGGAGAGAGAGAAGTTGGCGTCCTAGTCTAGGCTAAAGTTTGAAGAAATTAAGAGAGATCTGAAATTAATTTCAAATTAGGTGAATTCGGAAGGAAAGAATTTGAATTTTGAATTCAAACTCTCATTGAGAGAAATAAAGTGGGAGGGAGGAGTTGTGGGAGATAATTAGGGAGTCTTAATAGAGGGCAATTAATGAAAATTTGAGAGAGAAAGGCACAATGAAGGGGTCGGCCATATAGAGTGAGGAGGGAGTGGATTTGTTTTAATTAGGTGGGCCCCAAGGTTTAAGTAACTAATTCAAATCAAATCTGAATTTAATTTCATATTTAATTTAAAAGGGGAGGTTTCCAAATTGATGTTTTAGCATTTGGAAAGAACTCAAATTTCAAACTTTCATTGAAATCCAATTTGATGACTTTCCTAATTGCTTAAATTTATTCTAGGAAAGTGATTAATGACCAAAGGAATTTGAATTTCAAACTTGGGCAAGAGGGGGTGGGTCAGCGGCTTGTGTGGGGATCAGGGGGGGGGGGGGGGGGGGGGGTGGGGGGGGGGGGGGGTTGAGTGGATGGGAGTGCCGGCGGTGGACTGGGTGGAGGCCGGCGGCCGGAGATTTGGTGAGTCCGGTAGGGTTGAATTGACGGGTATTGCTCTCACCCATTAAGGGTTGCTCCTCTCAAGAACTCACCAGGAGATCATGTAAGAAAGTGGAGAAATTTTCATTCATAAACCTCATTAGGAAATAATACAAAGACTAGGCCTCCAAAACACCAAATGTAAAAGACATAAATGCCCTCAGGCTACAACATGACATAAATCCCTCATAGGAGTACAAATGAAAAATTGAAAATAAATAAAAGAAATGCACTAAAACATCATAAATAAGGACTATGAATCGTAGTCGTCGATCTACGATCCCTTCAATGTCAAAATGTACGGTGGATGTCCTCATCACCTTCTGCTTGAGGACATTTGGGAAAGAGAGAGGAAGGGATTGATGCAATGAAATATTTGAAAACTAGTGTTGAATATAGTTTCTTTATCATTGGTGATGAGACGAGGAAGGAGCTTCAAAAAACATGTTGATGGCAGCTATTCCTTCAAGATTAACAAATGTTTTTTAGAATTTGTATCTAAATGGGCCACAAAATCTTTAGCATTATCACACTGAAATATTGTTTTAATTGTCATTTTATGAGTAGTCTACCAATGCCTTTTAGATTGGCTCAATGCTGAAATATATTGGCTCAATGCTGAAATATATTGAATCATAAGTTGTTGTACCCGACTTGTTGTTGAGGTGCTCCCAATCTTTGAAAGATTTGCTTCCTTCTTCTCTATGATAACCTTTTAAATATTTTATTTTTTTATGCTGATTTTTTGTATTGTTCATCCATTCTTGACATTGTTGTTCTACTATCTTTGAACCTACAAGAATATATTGTTGCTTTAACACAATGCAACACTAATAAAGCCTTTATGTAATAATGGATTAGTTGGATTCTATAAGTAATTTTGGATATGGCTTAGTAGGACTATTCACAAGAATATAGGTTTTTAATATAATTGAACTTAAATCAAATCATGCTGTTAAAGTTGAGAGATTTTTTGAAGTTTGTCTGTGCTTATCCTGGCAAGCTATTTGTGACATAAATTGTCAACTCAAGAAAGGGCTCCATAAGTTGATACTTTTATAATCAACTACATAAATGCTCATATTGTGCAGCTCTTTTCGTTAAAGCTCTTTTCCTTAAAGGATATCTTTTATTTGCTCTGCTTTTTATTTGATAATCATTTTTATCTATTCTCTGTGATTAGATATGATTTTCTTTTATTAACCTTTATTTTTTCTTATTCATCACTTAGGTGCTCCTCTATTCTTGAGAAGTCTCAAAATTTTAATCCTGTGGCATAAGTTTTTTTTATCTGCCTGCTTAAGATATAATTTGCTTTCATAACTTTTTTTGTGCAGCATATATCAAAGGTTTCTGTGAACTTGCAGGCCAGAAAACACAATTATAATACATAATAAGTATTGGCAGCATGACAGATGTAGAGTAACACAAATAACTTGTATTAAATAGATTGTAACATGCAAGTTGAAACAGTTGGCTTGCTTTTGAATGGAAGCAACCTCAATCAGTTGTGGTTTATTATTGATTTTGTATGATTTAGTTATAGAACCTAGATGTTGGCCCTAGAGCTATGGTTAGTTGCCTCCTTTGTGATTTGAGTCATGGATTCAAGTCAATGAGTCATGGAAATAGCCTTTCTACAGATATAAGGCTAAGTTTGTGCATATCAATTCCACCCAAACCTCACATTGCGGGAGCTTTATGGGTACAACACTTAGTTACGAAACTTTTTGATGGATTCTTTGGGTGCATTTATTTAATTGTCAATTGCTGTTCCATGCAATGGCTTTTGCTATAGTTTAGCATTAATTTTGGCAAATACTTCCTGTAGAGTTTTTGGCATTCAAATTTTTTCTTTTTGATTTTTACAAGAGCGGAAATTTTGAATTTTCACTCTTTTGATAGGGAAGAGCACTCTTCTGAACCGTCTTTTCCATACCAACTTTAGAGAGATGGACGCATTTAATGGGAGGCAAGTAGCTTCTTTTGATATTTCATTACTTAAATTTATTTTTCATGTGAATAGATCCTTATATTATTATTATTATTATTATTATTATTATTATTATTATTATTTTGTACTTCAGGTCTCAAACTACTCAAGGAATTTGGCTAGCAAAGTGTGTGGATATTGAACCTTGTACTATTATCATGGATTTGGAGGGTTTTGATGGAAGAGGGGGTGGAGAGGTAGCTTTAAGATTTAACTCTTTTGGGCATAATTTTTCTTCAATTGGACTTAAAAAGCATCTTTTTGTATCATTTTTTACATTTGACTTTTGAATGCTCAATGTGCTAATTACACAGTATTATTTAAATCTTTCTTAGTGATTTACATGTTATCATTTTTCAAATCTTCCTTTCAGAATTGTTCACCATAGATATCCGGACATTTATTTTCCTGAAAATCAAAATAAAATGTAGCAATGAGCTCTGGTGTATTTACAATTTTACAAATAAAGTAAAATATTAGTCGATGTCAATTAATTGATAACGCTGACAGAGAATCATAATGTACTAAACTTATAATATGTGAATTTGTTAATTTTTTATATGGACATTGTTAACCAATACACAGAGAACAAAAAAAAGGAAGGAGGAAGAAATCTAGCGTGCAAATTTCATACCCGTCGGATCCAGGAATCCCGCTGAATCCCTGTGTACGCGGCGCCGTTTGAGTCGCATCCCGCGATTCCTGCTCAAATCCTGCGACGTTGCCTCGATCGAACGACCACGAGCGTCGTTAAATAGAAGCCGAGCTCCTCATTCGCTCCTCCCACGCGATCGAGCTCCAGTCGCTACTTCTTCCTCTCCCGATACCTCCCCTATGTCCGACCTCAGCCCCCATCCGATCTCCCAAGGTCGGAATCCCACCTCAGCCCCAATTCACCGCCTGTAGCTCAAACCGTTCTCCTCTGCCTCTATCAAGTGCCGATCTCCTCTGCCTCTATCAAGTGCCGACCTCCTCTAGCCTAGAGAGAGAGAGAGAGAGAGAGAGAGAGAGAGAGAGAGAGAGAAATAGTAAATTAATTAATAATTAATTATAGTTATAATTATTTAATTAGTTATAATTAATTTCGATTAATTATAATTAATTATAATTAACTTATTAATTATAATTAATTAATAATTAGTGATTAATTATTAATAATAATTATTTAATTATTATCATAATTAATATAAATTATAATGAATAATAATAGTAATAAATGCTTGCAAATGCTTCTCTTACTTCGACGTTCATGCCCTTCACCACCAATCCGCCGGTCGTCAAAGGTATAATTTTATGGAACCTAGTCTCTCTCTTACCTCGGCATGCGTGTCGAGTCGGTGGTCTGCCCATGCACGCTTTTCTCTAGCATGGTGGGAGGGGCAACCGGCGCGACACCTACGGCGAGGTAGGCGAGTGACACTCGGTTCCAAATCCTATTCTCGGTGTTAGTGTCGAACCGGAAAACCAACTCATGCACGCTTTTCTCTAGCGTGGTGGGAAGGAAACCCGATGCGGTGCCTACAACGAGACCGGGATACCCATAAGTACCCGCTTGCGGGGAAACGACTGCTTCTCTTTTGCAACATGTACCGAAGACCCATGCACGCCTTTCTTTGGTGTGGTGGGGGAACAAAAATTTTACGGCCGCGGTGTCCTCGAAAGAGGGCACCTACCGTGCACGCTTTTCTCTAGCGTGGCGGGAGGCCCAGTTTTCCGTAGTTTTCTCCTAAACTGGGGAGACGTCGGTAGGCTGCCGAAATTTCGGGTGAAAACGAACCATACTCGGACCTGATTTAAACATCACATGAGCAAGACTTGGGCATCATTTGGACATTAATTGGAACATCAAATGGACTTAATTCAAACTTAAACAATCAATAATGCTTCAAATGCAAATGAAACAAAAAAATAGTTTGAACTTGCAAAGACAACAGGGGACTTTTTGAACTTGAACTCAGACTGGGACTTGAACTCGAATGAGTAGAAACAGTGAACTTGATTGAACTCAAATGAGCCTGGTGCAAAGAACTTGAACCGAACAAGAATACAAAGAACTTTGACTTGTAATTGTAGTTTGAGACAACTACAATGACCACTTGAACTCAAGCTCCTCTTTGAACTCAAATGAACATTAAGCTTGAACACTAATCAAACTTAATTTGACATGAGTTGAGTGATTTAGACTCAAATAAAGATTTAATTTGAGCCTACGTTGTGAACTCAACTTGAACTTGAATGTGATACGAACTACAATGAATTTGAATTCAAAACTTGGATTAGAGTTTGAACTTGACAAAGAATTCAAAATCAAATCATAAGCAAGAGGACTTGAGTTGGTACACTAAACTAGAACTTGAACTCGACATGAGCACCAAGAAGCTTAGACATAGAACTTGAGCTTGCTACTCAAACTCAAACAGTTTGGGGCTTGGACTTAAATGAATGATGGGGAGCAAACACAAGAAAATGTGCAAGGAGTTATGTCAAGACTTCAAATGAACATGATTTTCCCATTGCAAATAAAACACTTGTGATGAATCATTTTACATGCTACAAATCATGCTAGAGGACCCTCATGAATACAATCCACAAGCAAAGGTTAATTGGAGAGTGCAACGATATGATCGTAATCAAGACATGAAATTTCATTGAGATATCAATATGTCGTCACATTGATTGGGATGAACATGTTATTAAGCAAGTTTTCTACACAACATTTGAACCATCTTCACATGGCACTGGAAGATTTATGAGGTTCAACAAGGCTCGTCCATCATTAACAATCAACTTGCAGACAATAATAATTAACATACAATGAGTGTAGTAGTTTTCCAACACTCAATAATCAGCTAATCCACAAACAAAGGTTGACGAAGAGCAAGAAAAAGCAAATGTCTCTTAAGCACCACGAAGGAGGAAGGACTTTTAGATGAATACACAAACATCAAGTTCAAGTGACACATAATCTTTCCACAATCAATATCAGTCAACATGCAAGCAAATATAAGAGATTCCTCCAATCAACATACAAAGAAATCGATAACACATACAGGAGACTCGTTAGTGCACTACGATCTACCTGTGCAAATCATGCAAGTAGTGCACGGTGATCTACCTGTATGAAGCAGCGAACCACTCTATTCAGAAGCTGCTACTTCACGCCACCGGATCTGCAACATTCGTACAAGCAGATAGAAGGCGTCCAAAAGTTACAATGCCACGTCACCGGATCTGCAACATTCGTACAAGCGGACAGAAGACGTCCACAACTACAACGTCACGCCACCGGATCCGCGACATTCGTACAAGCAGACAGAAGGCGTCCACAAGTTACAACGCCACGCCACCGGATCTGCAACATTCGTACAAGCAGACAGAAGGCGTCCACAACTACAACGTCACGCCACCAGATCTGCAACATTCGTACAAACAGACAGAAGGCGTCCACAACTACAACGTCACGCCACCGGATCTGCAACATTCGTACAAGCAGACAGAAGGCGTCCACAACTACAACGTCACGCCACCGGATCTGCAACATTCGTACAAGAAGATAGAAGGCGTTCACAACTACAACGTCACGCCACCGGATCTGCGACATTCGTATTAGCGGACAGAAGACGTCCACAACTACAACGTCACGCCACCGGATCTGCAACATTCGTACAAGCAGATAGAAGGCGTCCACAACTACAACGTCACGCCACCGGATCCGCGACATTAGTATTAGCGGACAGAAGACGTCTACAAATACTTTCAAACTACCTCTGCACATGCACTATAAATTGTATACATATAGGTACACTAAAGGGGAAAGTACAATCTTAACATGCATGAGCCCCGGCGAGCGTGTTATTGGTACACACGTGACGTCTAGGGATGCTGCGCGGGTTATTAAATTTGAGCCCGATTCTCCTAAACGGGTAAATAGGAGTTGACAGGGTTCCATTATAAAATGCCCCCAAACACCCGCATGGGCCCGGCGAGCATGTTATTGGTACACACGTGACGTCTAGGGATGCTGCGCGGGTTGATAAATGAATTCAAGTTTGAACCCGATCCTTCTATATGGATCAATAGGAGTCGACAGGGTTCGAACCTTCAAACAAATACATGGTGGTGGGGAGCAGTGTATTTGTTTTAATACATTCATATCAGGCATTCAAGGCTTATAATCAAAAGAATTCACTAAATAAAGGCATAAAGCATACGAAACCCGATCCTCTATCGACATCCAGACAGAGTCGACAAGGTTCAAGCTTTAAATAGAAACAACCCCAAACACCCCGATGATGGTCGTGTTGAATGTAGATCTCAACCGGAGGGGTTAATTTCAAATATCTTCAAAATGTCTCTCAAAAGTCCATTCCAAATTCCATCAAAATGCCCGTAAAAATCCAAAAATCCATAAAATCTCAAAATCCAAAATATTTAAAATTGAAATCCATCAACACTTAAAACAAAATCTATCCGCCCTCCGCAACAGTTTGCCGAGGTGGACAATTTAAAATTTACTTGGATCACATAGAGCCAAATGCCTAGTCGAAAATATCACTATGATCCATTCTCAAACAATCTCCTGCTAGTAAGGACGTGGTACGTGTCCTCTGACCGGCGGTTCGCCGCCAAATGGCATCGTAGGATAAACGGTTATGACCCGGGGCCCTCTAAACCGAGTGGTTTTGCCGCCAAATGGCACCACGAAATATCGGTTATTGCCAGCACCGATACGCTCCTTATTGGCATCAAATCCTTGAGATATGAATCAATAGGATATAATCGATAGGGCACAAAGCCCTCTATAAGCTAAGGTGGATTCCAATTTGTCCCCTTAGACAAATATCCATCCCAGGTCTACAAGGTTCCCTTGGACGAAGCAACCCATGGCTGCCAATAAGGATCCTTCTGTCAGGTTGGGTCGACTACCTCCTCTGACTAAGTAGATCAGGGACCACGATGGCCCGGGACGACGGAACCATGGGATCTTGATCGGGTCTATCATCCATTCCCCCACCATCCGCTTTGAGTGCAAGATGATGAAAATTTCTATTTTAAATATCAAACTGTCAAAACCTTTCCAAATTCAAACCCAATTTCCAAATTCTTAAATACCTATACCCATTGCTACTACTATATGCCAGATAACACGTATCTCTACGTATCTGATTGACGACTAGCCTTAATCGAAATTTCTCTCTCATTATCGGGAGGGGTAATTAATTATAGGGGCTTGCGCCTATAGGAAACCAGAACTCAGATCATAAAGTCATCGCAAAATGAGGACGAAATCTCTGGGTAGTGTCTTATCTACAAACCCATCTGCCTTCCAAAATTTACCTTGGAACTTATTTAGTTAAAACTCTCTCGCTGAATATAAGAAAGAAATCACGCGGCGGGGAGGCCGGGGCCGAATTTTCGGAGCCCACAAACATAATAAGGTAACCTATGCCACTACAAGAAAAATTTTATATTGTTAGTTTATTTCGACCTTGGATATATGTTGAAAAAAAATACTGCATGTGTGTGCGACTCACATCGTTTGAAATGTTGAATTGAATAAAATGCGAAGCCTAATCAAAATTGTAGCTAGCATTATAGGCTTGGCTTCTCATGCATGTAGTAAAATGTTTCTTATGTTTGATGTGCATGGTACATTTACCTTACTCCCACCATCTTGCAGTTCCTTAAACACTGAAGTTGTAGCTTCGATCTCTATCCCTTTTTCAGGATGAAGCCGCATTTGAGATGCAGAGTGCTCTTTTTGCTTTAGCAATTTCAGATATAGTGTTGATAAATATGTAAGCCTTCTAATATATTTATTTTATTTAATGAGGCATCAATGCTTATTTTTTAGTGATCTTATCACAGGTGGTGTCATGATATTGGACATGTGCATGGTGCTAACATACCTCAATTACAAATTGTATTCCAAGTAAGCGCTAGCTCTATCTCTGATGGAATAGTGTAGTATTTTCTGTTGTTTTCACCTTAAGTTACGTTTCTTTTTTTCTTAACAGATCATGATGTGGTTTTTTAGTCCTCGTAAAATAACCTTACTTTTTGTCATACGTGACAAGACTGAAGTGAGTGATATTTAACCATTTTGGTGTGGCTTCTATCATATGATATTTACTGATGTTTATTATGATAATTAGAATAAGTTTTTTTTCCTACGTATCTGAAAATACTGAGCATGTTTGTCTTTACATGGGTAGACCCCTCTTGAAATGTTGGAAGCTATTTTGAGGGAAGATATTCAAATGGTACATGTTGTTTGCTGCCTTTCTCATCTTTTATATATTCACTATATTATTTATATTTAGCATGCTTTTATTTATTTATTAATTTATTTTGTTACAGATTTGGGATTCTCTTAAAAAACCACTTAAGCATATAAATGCACCACTTAGTGAAACTTTTAATGTAAGTTGCTAAAACCTTGATATAAGAGGTATCTTCTTTCTCCTCCGATGAATAATATTTTTATTTTTTAATTTGGATATATTTCAAACCATAGGTAGAAGTTGTTGCCCTTTCGAGTTTTGAAGAAGAGGAAGAACAGTTCAATGAGGAGGTAAATTTCAATTTTGATATTACATTTTAAAGCCTCCCTTTCTGATTCATTTCTTTGGTATTGTGGAATGCGGGTTCTCTATGAAAATATGTCTATGCCTAGTACCTTGTTTCTTGGGAACATCATGACCATCATGAACTGTGAGATTCTTGGTATTGAGCATCCTAAACACATGCATTTGGAGAACCCCAATTTGTGTGGGTCTATGAAAATATTTATTTTTTCTACTTAAGCATTATGAGCAAGGGACCATGACTTTCAACTTGGCATATGCTTTGGAATGTACCAGGTCATATTTAGTTCCAACATTGTCACATACTCATGCACCTGTATTAATTCTAAATTTTTAGTCAATGCTACTACCCTTAACTGGTAGATGCTTCCTGGCAAATGCAATGACACTAATTATTTGGTTACCTAGTTGTAACTTAAAAAGGGTGTGAATAGATCATGGAACATCTTAAAAGATTTTGGTGAAGAGAATTATAGAGAGTTGATTTTCAGTAGTTTGTTTGAACGTCCCTAAATGAACTAATTTCTGCAGCTTTCAATAATCCATTATATTGAGAAGATTTGATGAACAGTGTGACTATACCGGCAAAATGTAGGCTTTGTTTAACTCCTAGACCCCTACCCTTCACCTTACTGCTAATGTAACCATTTTTGTTTAACATGTGTATGTGTGCATCTTTTGTGTTTTTCTTTTTTTATATGTTGCGATTTGAGGGGTGGTGCATGGTAGTTTTGTGTTTATTTTATTTTTTTCATTTTTTGTTGGCCGGGGGTTGGTCCCTGGAAGTTGACAATTGTCAAAAATTTGTGAGTGATTCTGTTGTTAAGAAAAAGAAAAGAGCGTGTGTGTGCTTGGAGGAAAAGTGTGCGTAATGAAGAATAGAAAAAGATGAAATATAGTGACCATAATAATAGAAGATGGAAAATAACAATGATAAAAAGAAAAGAACTAAAATGTAAAGAGGATGAAGAAATAAGATAGTAGGAAATGTTTGTGGTTTTCTTACATTTGGCACTAAACTTCTTTTCATCAGAATTTTTTTGCTAGCATGCTAAGAATGAATAACCCTATCCCCTTGGCAATAAGGAAACCTAATGCTCTATTATTGATGGAATTTGTTGATTAGATGATGTTATTGGAACCAATACTTCAGTCATTTTTACTTTCATCAAAAGAACAAAAGAATTGGGAAAGATATACAATACATGTCACCCATGCATTCTAATTTTCATATATGACGTGTGTGCTATATTGAATCACACTTACATGAAAGATCTTAGATTTCTATGACAATCAAAATAGATTTCCCAGATGCAACTGTTACCCCCAACAATGTTTTGAAGAAGACTAACCCCTTATCTACTATATACTCAGTCAGTGGTGCAGCATGACTCCAACCAGGTTGCATCACCCAAAAACCACCTTTCATGCAACAGTGTGCTTGCCTTGGGAAACGTTCAGGTCATATGTCTAATTGAACTTGTGAGGATATGGTGCTACTTGGAACTTCAACATGCATCCCTTGCTTTAAAAGTTGTCTGTGCAGGTTGATGGAAAAAATTGCAGTTTTTCTACCAACCCTTGAACGTCTAATTTTTTTTCTCACAAGCTTACCACTATCCATCTAGTTTTTTGAATGTTTCATAATATTTTATATGTTGTAATGCCTCCAATATGCATTATTGCTCTAGATTCAGGCATTCTTAAGGTTTTGTTATTATGTCCTTGCAGGTTGCAAAGCTAAGGAAAAGGTTTTTTTACTCTATTTCTCCTTGTGGGCTTGCTGGAGATAGACGAAGCATTATTTCTGCATCAGGATTTTCATTTAACGCACAACAAATTTGGAAAGTTATAAAAGAGAACAAGCTACTTGACTTACCCTCCTACAAGGTGATGGTTTGTTTTTTGTTAATTTATGACTTGTGAGTTTTTTTTTTTTAGCTTGATATATCAGTATCTAATTTTTTCGCTTTCCTAGTATAGGTTTTGGTTGCTAGTTTTCGTTGTGAAGAAATTGCAAATGAGAAAATTGCTTCTTTCTCTAACAATGAGGTAGTTGGCCAAAAATTTCTATTTATATTCTAGTACGGGGCATGTTTTTGGCATCACCATCCATTTGAGCATTATGATAGGAGTGGCTCCACCTAGAAGAGGCTGTGCAAAATAGTATTGTTCCAGATTTTGGGAAGAAGCTCAATTCTATATTGGAGAACTGCTTGATTAGGTAATGATCCTTAATTTTATCAATGTGAAAAATAGCTATGGTTGCTTATCATTGATTGTTAATAAGGAAAATGTAGTGAAAACCATAACAGAGGTTTCATTTTTTTATTTAAGATTTAGCTTATATTTAGCTGATTATTGACAAATTAAAGGATAAATGTAATGATAAATGCTTTTTAAATATTTTTAAGGGTTAATGCTACTGAAATGTAGGGTTGCTATTTCATAAAAGGTTGATCATCATTTAAAAAATAGAGTAGATTTGAAAGCAATATGCTAGTTTATGCTCTTGAGAATTTAAAAATTTTTCAAGTCACATATTTTTCATGTATAAGGAAAAACATAATCTTTCAGTCATATGTGAATATTTTTTCTTGCTCCCTCCCCTTCTACCTATGGAATTTTTTTTTTTTTGAAAAATTGGGTAGCGTGCATATCTACTTCTATGTTTATCTTGTTACTTAGATTTAGCCTATTGTTACAAAATATTGGAAGGTCAAAAGGCATAACTAGATGTAAACAACGTGATGGTGTTAGGATTTTGAGAATGAAAAAAAAAATATATGGGAGCTAGTAATAGTAATTAATTTGGATGTCTTTTGAAATTCTTTATGTACTATTTAGCAATTATGTATTTATGGATGGTTAATAATGTATTTATGATGGCTATATTTTGTAGAGTTTTATTTGAAAAATTCAAGAACATAAATACATATGATATCTTTTGGTGTTGGACATTGATATAAAAAAAATGATTAATCAGGATATCTCAGTTAGAACCACTATTATTTAATCTTTTTTTACTGAACATTTGACAAAAAACTTCTGCCTGGTTGTTTAGCTTGCTTGCATATTATGATTTTCATAACAATAATTCCATAGTTTTCCTAAAAACGTGATTTATATTACAGTTATGACAAGGAAGCTGTATATTTTGATGACGATGTTAGTACCTCAAAGAGACGACAATTGGAATCAAAACTTCTTCAGGTATTATCACAAAAAAAAAAAAATCTGAGTGGATGCATACCAATATTTTAGTTGGCATTTCAAACTCATGTGAGAAAATTAGGGAATCAAACAGCAGGGCGAATATATTAAGTTTTTCTTAGAAGTTTTAAGGTTCTCTGGTTTCCCTAGTATAATTGATTTGTATTCTTTTTTTCATTTTTCTAATGGTAAAAAATATTTAAGAGATTAGTGCAGGTACTAATTATATTTTTAAAATGGAAATGTACTGCATGTTTCATCTAATAATTTCTTAATTCTGAAATGAAGGCTGTAAATTAGTTTGAAATTTTATATGTGAAAAATTGTATGGGAAGCTCCTTTTTTCTTGAAAATCTCTTACTTGGTCACTCATCACCTATTAAACTAGAAAGTTCACTCGGGCATATTTTGCCTATTTCATAATCATAATTTTGCATCTAGAATATAACTATTTTTTTCTTCCGTAAAATTTCCTCATTTGCTTCTTTGATGTGTGGGAGGGTATCTTAGTTCATTTCATCTTGTAATTCTCTCATGGTCCAAACAAAGGAATGAATAATTGTTGGAAAGTTCAATGGAAAGTACGACATTTTCCTGCCACAGAAAAAATAATTGAAATAGAGAGGTCAATTAAATGAATTTTCATGCTTATCGACAAAAATCAAGGGAGTTACTGGAGGGGCTTAAAAAATTTATGAACATAGCTAAACTCATGTAAAAAAGCGAGGGCTATACTTGCAAATTTCCTGTGTTCAATTTGTGAAAACTTTTGAGGGAAATTCATGCGCAATACAAACATGATATTGGGGAATTGTATAGTTATTGAAGCTTGATTAACATTATTGTTCTAAACCTTCCACAGTATTTCAAGAAAATGTAGCTATAATACTATTCATTTTTTACTTCATATAGACTAAAAATGACCCATGTGGACTTGCAACTGTATAGAATTGTGCAACAATTCAAGGAATTGAGTTGTGGTATGGAGCTGCATCAACTATATTGCCCACTATAAAATATGAGAATGGACATGGCGAAGCACATAACTGTGCAACAATTCAGGGAATTAGGATATGGCACAATGACACTGACATCGCATAACACAGGCATGAGGGCATGTCAAAATTGCAAAAAGTAAAGCACAATATTCTTATATATATATATATATATATATAATAAACTTAGCAATGTCAAAAAGAAAATACAAATGCATGTTGATAATAAAAGAAATTGTATATCATATATGACTATTGTCATTTGTTAATAACTTTCTAAAATTAGCATTTATTAAACCTTTTAGTTGTATCATATATTACCAATATCATTATTGCTTACCAAATATTAAAAACATATCAAAATAATAATAATGAAAACATGATTGTTTGGGCATAATTGATTGGATTTTAGGCACTCTATGGAATGATCATTACTAGCACTAGCACCCGTGTTTGTTCAATGACACCATCTATAAGGAAATATTTTTCAAAGATGGGTACTAAGAGAGATATTAGCAAATTAAAATATTATGATGTCATTTATTGAGCTAAAGTATTTCCACCCATGCCCACAATGTAGTCTCTGCTTGAGTATATTCTTGGCTACTCCAAGATATACAAATGAAGATTAGTTTGCACAAATACTAAATCCTTTCCCCGTTAAGGAGTAATCTAGTTCCTCTTGATTGAATAAATAAAATATTAGGTAATTCAATTTCTTTTGCAAGAAGAAGTGGAAATTAGTGAGCTAATAATTAAATTGCTAACATTGTAGTCATGGGAACTAGCACCATAAATCATCTACCAGGCCTTTCCATCCATAGCGCCTGTAGAGGCTATACAGTAATGATAAACAATAGCACCACTAAATTTAAAAATGTTAACAAACTCTAAATTAACCATTCATCTAACTTCAATATTCAGAAAAATTCTCTTCAATCATTTGTTCTTCTCATTTGATATCTTCATATCTTTGTGTTGCTACATGATTGGAAGCTTTAATTAGCTAAACATGGCTATAGTATCTTATAAAAGAATACATCTAATAAGTAAGATTAATAATTTTGAAATGGGCTATGCTAAGATTAATGAAAAATTATGAATGTTACCTTTGGTCAAGAGAGTAGCTAAGCAATGAAAGAGAGAGTTGTTTTAACTCCATCTTGCATAAGAATGTCACACACCCCTGCATAAATGGTGGATTTCTCGTTGCCTCTTTCTTTCATGTCAATATATGATCCCTTTTTATCTTTTATATCATTGAATCCCACATTTCATAAATAAGATGGGAAATAAGGGTTGTTTATATTAGCTACTCTTAGCATGCCATATATTGGCTTTGACAAAAAATTAATTTAATTTTTTGTCCTGCTACATTCAATGTCTTCTCTTTCACAAACGTTTGGCCTTATTTTCACAATCTTCTTGTCGCGTGATCCGCTTGTCATCAATCACCATAGTTTGTAAACCTTTATTTATTAGTTAGAATTGCTAATTTTAATCCTGTTTCAAACAAGCATGTCTTTTCTATAACCAATAATTTTAACTTCACATATTCTTTGCAAATTAAAAATCTCAATTAATGATTAATGAAGATTTTTATGAAGTTCACACCTCTTGTATTGTCTAATATCTAATAGCATTCTTTATATGTGATATTAGATTTGATTTAATTACATTCTTCATAGGTGATCTGATTACCTTTTATATTTTTTGGAGCATAAACATTCTTTAATGAAAGATTAAATGCGTGAACAACACAATGAGTCTAAAAAGAGGGTGTCTCATTAATTGTTCCTAAAGCTTTGCTAATTAGGAATGTCAGTGATTATTTCAACCTTTTAATGTAAACCCACCCTATACTCATTTCTTTTATTGATTTGCAATGCAAAAATTATTTTTATATATTCCTTCATAATTTATGGCCTTTATAAACGTATGCTAAGTTTTTGCAATTCCCATGAAATTTATAAGATATTCTTTTTTGTGCATCAATTCAATCAATAAAAGTAATAGCAACTTCTTTTTCATAAAAACCCTCTTTAATTCACTCAATCATTCTTTCAATGTAAGCTCTTTGCTTTTAAAGTACTGTTGTCCTCAAAAGATCATAAACCAAAGGAATATAACTATGAAGACTGCGATTGTTTGTATATGAAAAGCACTAAAATAATATAGTTCCTTTGTTAAATGAAATGACGTGGCTGTGGAATAAAATATGCAAGTAATTTCTTCATACAAATGATTTGTTAAATGAAATGACGTGGCTGTGGAATAAAATATGCAAGTAATTTCTTCATACAAATGATCTTAAACTTGCAAATTAAGTGCTCTTTGAATAGCTATTTTTGTTCTTGATACTTTACTGTTTTGGATCATAATCTTGCGCCTAATTAAATTTTCACTTGATTGTGAGGTAGAATATTGATTAGAGCAACTTTGCCTAGAAGAACTGGGGAAACTTTCTTCAATGAGATATTTTTATTTTGCTAAAAAATTGCATCCTTTTTGCAACCCCTAGAGTTTTATGGATGTTGTTTCGAGGCATGATCAAATTATCGACCCTAGTTATATGAGCAAGTGAGCTCTTCTTTATACTAGACAATAATATTTAAGATTAATCCCTACAAAAGAACTACGACTTACAAGTTAAACCAGCCCTTTGAACTTAAGAATGCTTATTCAAAATTTGTATTTTTTCCCTTCATATAGTTGACCATACTTCATGTTCTTTGGTAGTTTACTTTTAGTTATATGTACTTAATATACATTAAGTCATTTTAGGCATTAATTTTAAATGAATGAATGAATGATGTGTTGAGGAGGATTTATGACATAACATGGCTGGTTAGCAAGAAGAGGGCACAATACATAGAGACGATTAATGTACACAGAGAAAACAGTCAAGACATTAACCAAATGCCAATGAGATTCGGATTTTCTTTGATGGATTGTCAAAGAGGTAATGTGTACTTGATGATTGAAAGAATTATGGGATCAAAGGCTTTACCTGCGACTTGCACTACAGGAAAATCTCTCATTCCCGACGGCAATTTCCGGTGGTTTATCTCATTTTTCCGGCAATTTTGCAAAGTTCTGGCAGCTTTCCGAGGTTTTAAAAACAGCTGGTATAAAGTGTGTAGAAAATGCAAACCGGCGTTATATTCCCAATGACAATTTTTTTTCGGCGATTTGCCGACGACTACAACAGACTGAAATTAATGGACCCAAAATTGCAGATAAACCGCCAGAAGATTTCGACACAAAAACTGCCGGTTAGCCATCGAATTTTATCGGCAGCAAAACAAAGAATCGACGTCAAATTGAGTCCGTCTAGTATTGAAGTTTTCGGTGGCTAAACTGCCGGTTAGCCGTCGAAAATCTGTAGCAATTGCAAAAAAAAAAAAAAAAGCATCCCCCTCTATCCAAACAACTTTCCACAATTACCTGCAGGCAGTTCAAAACATATATGAGATATTTTTTACCATATACTCAGGCAGTTCAAAACATGATATATGAAATATACTAACATCCACAATCAACAGATAAAGATAATCTAACAGTTCAAAACATAAAATAAATAAAGTTAAACTTGTTAAACAATCTTTAAAACACAAAACAAATTCTTTCACATCCATAGGTTCTAAATACTCCAAACAGTTTTTCAAACAAATAACAACAACTAATCATGGGAGAGGGCCAATCATTTAGTATTTCAACAATATTTTATGTTTTTACTATTGTATATGAGATTAAACTTTATACTCTCACTTGCTTGAAGAAAATAAGGTGTGACTTTTAAGTATAATAGTGGTATTGAATAGATTCATAATTCTTCTTTAGGGTGGTTTAGGGATAACTTTATTGGTGACTATCATACATTTGTTTAGCTTCAACTTTCTTGCTATTTTCTTAGAAATTTTTAAGGTTAGAAGGTGCCTTTTATACTTGTATCTATAAGAATGGAATGTGATTTTTTTGTTGGAAAACTTCTATAATATTCACAATTGTAAATCCTATACATTTTTAACCATTTTGCAACTAATTTTAAATCTCAAATGGACATTTGGTTTGATTTGGTTTGACCCCTTGTATGTTTATTCAAAAACTTCAAATGTGTGTATGTGTGTTATAATTAGTCTATAGTAATTAGAGGTATGACTTCTTGTTTTGTTTTTATTCATGGCATGAAAAAGTTAAGTGCACAATTACTTTAAAGGTGAAATTAATAAACATATGATTGCTTGATTTTTTCTTGTCTTAATCAAACAATTGGAACTTGTTTGTGGCATCATCTTCTATAGATAACTTTGCAAAGCAAAATTTCTTGCACTAGATGGTAATTCTCACATCTAAAATTTTGTTTATTTTATTCTTTCACTTATTTTACATTTTTGTGATTTGTTCCCTCCGAGTCTTACATGCCAAAGCATACAACTTCATGTTTATTGTCTTTTTTTTTTATTTGCTTCTCTGCTTCATACCTATGGATTGGGGCTTCGACTTTAATTTTTATATGTTAGTGTAAATATATAACAATCTTGTTTAATAAAATGATACGGAGTTTATTGTGTTGAAGTATGAACCAACCCAACATTCTTAATTGTTATTATTATTATTTTATGTTTGTTTGCCCCTGGCAATGGACACCTCAACAAAAACAAGATATTCTATTTCTTTTGTCTTCCTTTGTTTTTTTTGCTCCTTCACCCTAAGGTTTTCTAGTCAATCCTAAATATTGGTGTAAATATCGAGCGACCTTATTTAATTAAAAAGATATCTAAATTCTGGGTGTTGTGTGTGAGCTTAGTTAGCGAGGACAGATGGTCAGATTTTTTTTGTTTTTATTTTAGTTGCTCTTTCCTTTTCATTTGCACCTAGAAGTATCAATGATTGAGTCCAATTTAGAAGTCCTAAATGCATGTTTAGTCATGTTGTTGCAAAGCAATCTTGTTTTAGAAAATGATGTGCATGTTTTGTGTATTGTAATATGACCCAAGTTAGCATTCTTAATTATTTTATAATACCTTTTATGTTTTGTAACTGCAGTTTGTTCAACCTGCTTACCATTCCATGTTGGGGCACCTAAGATCCAAAACTTTAGAAGATTTTAAAGTTAGATTTGAGAAGGCTCTGAAAAGTGAGGAAGGATTTGTGGTTGTTGCTAATGATTGCACTCAGTCTCTCATGTCCGCATTCAATGAAGCCTGCAAAGGTAGCTAACTAGAAATTTTAATTAGATTTATTGAGCTATTCTTTATCACAATTGTTCATTTTGTTGAATGAATGGATGCAACATTTTTAATGTTTTCTTTTTCCTCCATGTTTTCGGAAGCATTCTATTCATGGGGATTTTTGTCTCATTGCATTGTATAGTAGGTGTGAACATGCTAGTGCTATGGTTCATAGTTGTGTAATTGATGCTTTTAAAGTCTTTAAACGAGCATGCATGTACAAGTATAGTTTTGTGCTCTAGATAGGAATGGTAGTTCAAGTTGTTTATGAAAGGGCTTTTATTTTATTTTTTCATGGATGCAAAGATACTGAAATTTGTCAAACATCATACTAAAATAGTGATTGATAAAATATGTATTAATATGTCTTTGAGGCAATAGTTTGAGACTTTTTTTTCTGTGCTTTCTTTAACAAGTATTTGTTTTATTTCCTTAGTAATCTTTCTTTAGCTTGCTTTTGATTCATAATTGAAGAATGCTGATGTGGATCGAATGCTAAAATATAGATGCAGGCATTGAACAAACAACTTGGGACTCTTCAAAAGTACGGGAGAAGCTTCAACATGATATAAATGAGCATGTTATTTTAGTTCGCAAGGCAAAATTATCTGAGCTCGCAACCTTTTATGAGGTGTGATGTAGCTGTAACAGATCTTTTAATTTTAGGAGAGTGAATTTCTTATACATTGTTGATATCTTAATGAGCTTTTGCATAGAAGAAAATATATTTATTGTTTTCTTATATTTCTTATACAGAAAAAACTCAACAAGACACTTTCTAAGCCTGTGAAAGTTCTTTTAGATATTGCTAATGATGATACGTGGCCGACAATTAGAAGATTTCTTCAACGGGAGTCAAAGACTGCTTTATCTGATTTTGCTTTAGCCCTTTCTTCATTTGATATTGATCAGACAACTATTGAAAAAATGCTTGCAAAACTAGAAGAATCTGCCATAATCATTGTTGAATATATGGCGAGGGAAAAAGCTAGGATGGTCTTGATGTATATGAAGGACAGGTGATGATTATTTTCTTAAAGTTTTACCTGTTAAAGATCTAATTTGTTTAATTGATTTTATCATGTTTGCAGGTTTAGAACAAAGTTTAACAATAATTTTAATTCAATTCTAAGATTGTGGACAAGAGAAAAAGACACAAAAACAATCACCAAAATGGCTCTTTTAGCAGTAAGTCATGAATATATATATATATATATATATAAGCTTATGCGTATGGTTAATTCTTATGTGTATTTCAAATTGTTTTATTTTTTGCAGTCCTTAAAGTTACTCTCTGTTATTGCTGCAATTCGCTTAGATGAAGACAATGATAATGTTGAGAAAACCCTTCAGCTTGCTTTGGTGAACGTTCCTAGTAGTTCAACTTCAAATAAGAGCATTCAGTCATTGGACCCACTTGCTTCTAGTACATGGGAAGATGTAAGACTTCATAGTCTTTTTTATATAATTTCTTTACTGATTCTCTTTGTAAGAATTTTATTCCCCTTACATTGAAGTTATTTGTGAACGTCTTTCATCTTTCAACATTTAGTTTCAAGAACATTTGCATGATACTTGAGTTTTGCTTCTCTACTAGTGCAAGTTATCTATAGCTTTGTGAACTAGCTCTATCTTCTTCCAAAGGTGTTTGGTTATTTTGTATTTTAGACTTTAATGTATGAGCTAGAATTCTTTGTTCAATTCGCCTTTGTTACTTTTTGTTGCATGATAATGAGCATAGGTTTCTCTTGTTGTCTTCTATGTGGTCATTTTTTATTTTTTCGAATCATTCAATAACGAAGAAAAAAGTCTTTCTGTAAAGGAACATATATTTGTTAGTAGATCTCTTACTTATTTAGTGTCCTATTATCTTGCTCTTTTTTTACCATGAATATACTTAAATTGTATAATATATTATCTATGTAGATTGTCTGTTTATTTAATTTGTATTTGCATTCACTTTCACATTGATTTGCCTATAATTATTTTTTAGGTTCCCTCAATGAGAACATTAATTACACCAGTTCAATGCAAGTCATTGTGGAGACAGTTCATGGAAGAAATAGAGTGGTATTATGGCACAATCATTTGAACGCAGGACAAGAGTGTGAGTTGGTTGCTCACTGTTGTTGATTGTTGTACCTTTTTTCATTTTTTTAAAATTTTCTTTTATTTGCTTGTGGGGGAGATCTTGGTGGATGGTTGATGTTGTGATGTGATGATGATGGTTTCTATTGTTATCATAATGCAGTATGATAGTGCATGTGGCACTAAGTGATTTTGTGATTTAGTTGTTATTATCAATTGCCTTATGTGTACCTTGTATCACTTTGAATTAAAAATACATGTTAGTTTTTATTGCAAAATTTGTTATGTTTTTGTTTATTATTATTTTTTCGTACTTCAAAATTTCATTTAAGTAAAAATTTCCTTATTTCTTAATTGTTGAAATTGTTTTCTTAATAGTGCTTTCACTTTGATAACTAATTTAGCCAAAATCAAAATAGTAATTAAAATTATTTAAAATTAAGAATAATACAAAACTATAGGTGATTATATCATTGCTCGAGGATAATGAAGTTTATCAATAGGTGATTAAATCATTGCTTGAGGATAAATAAATTCTTATATTTGGGGAAATTTATTAAGTTAAAATTATGTAGTATTTTAATGAGTTAAATTCTAGAAAAAATATTTGTTTTGAGTTGTTGTGCAGGAATATTTCAGGAATTAAAGGAAAATTTATAAGTTTTAGAATTAGTGTCACAACGCCTAGTTTATTAACGCTTCAATGCCCCATCGCTAGTATTCTACATTGCGGCACTGATAATTCTGGAAAATTTATTGAAGTCAACACTCCAACAGAACCAATGTTGGTGCCATAGTACCCACAACATCGTAATGCTAGAAATCTACATTGCAATGCTTTGAACTCTATTGCTTAAGAGTTGGGGCGCTATACTACCAATGCTGCAACTCCATGGAGCACATTCAAGTGTCGCAGCACTCAACTTTGGCATTGCCTCGACGGAGTAGATGATGAAAACAAGTGTCACGATGATGTAGCCAAAGATTATGTCGGGTTAACCCAACATCGCAATAGAGCATGTTTAGCAGCTCCAAGATGCTAGTTCATTTTATACCACTGCAACGCTCACCTGTCAAGTGCCGCGATGCCATAGTCCATTTATGTACTTAGTATAAATTGTTTTTCATTCTTTGTGAGTGAGAGTTTTGTCTTTTTGTTTGTTTTGAGTTCTTAAGTGTAATGCCCCCTTAGAATCAAGGCTTAGGGAGGCTATTGGAGATAAACATGCATCAATTGGAGATTGTTAGCATATCTTATTATGAGCAAGCAACTTTTGGAGGAGAAAGGACTGTGGAGATTGAACTTGTACTATTCATGTGATATCTATTTTCACATTTACTCTTGTACTTTCTCTTATGCTATCAATGAAGTTTGCTTTGTTATATCTTAATTCCATGGCTAGTTAACTTCAAGTTTGTGCTAATTGTGTGAATCATTTGCAGGTATTAATGTTGACTTTTGTTCTTTTAATGAATCAATGAATGTTTTCAATATATGTCATTTTTAATTTAATCTATAGAATGATCATGTGCAGAATTAAAACATAGTGTGATATATTATCTATGAGTATTGGAATGAAATTCTTGCATGTTTAGACATATAATATTTAGGATTTTAGGTTCTATGGAGATATAATAAATGTAGGAATGTCATAAACCTCCCTTCACATCCTTACATGCTTGACGGAGATTTAATTATGCATATGCTATGATGCATATCAAATATAGGAAAGTCTATTTAGAAAATTCACAATCATTAGTCCAAAATGCTTTATTAACTGGTTTCTTATCTTTTCTATTTCAATTTTCAGTAGTTACAAAATCCAACCTTGATTTTCGTTGCATAGGATAAAGTCTTGTAACTTTAGTAAACAGTAATAGAACATTTGCATTGTAGCAGAACAATTTTTCAAGGGATCGACACTCCTCATATCACTTTTATTACTTAATTAACATGTGCACTTGCATTTTTAGTGGGGAGTTTTTATCAATGAAAACCTAAGTATAATTTTGATATATAGAATATTTTATTCACATATTATAACCACTATAATTAAACCATCATCATGCTGCAATGCTAATTCAAAACTTGTGATTTTTTCACCTTTTCCTGAGGCATTTCTATACATCAACTAAAAATAACTATATATTAGAATTTAACATAATAAAGCATAACATAATTTTCACATAACACCAGATTGGATTGTGACACTTCATCTTCTTGAAAACTTACTGTGGAGAAAATCTTAGATCTTTGTTTCTAGTCTCAAAAGATAAAGTTATTTTTAGATGTATCCTAGTTTTAAATATCTATATTTTTATCATATTTTATTTTATTATCCTCCCCCTTTTTCTCTTTACTGGCTTGTAAGTAAATTTGGGGATTTTATATTTCTTATACTTTTATTCTCATTTATTTGAATGCATACACTTTCTTTCATATAGAATTTGTATTTTCAGTTCTCAAGTCCTAAATATGAGTTTTTTTTGCATTTTGTTTAATAGGAATTTTTCTATGATGGTAAACATTTAGACTTTATAATATATTTCTCTCCTTTTAACTAAATGCAATAATTTATATGATAATTTTAATTTATATGATTCAGTTACCTAATTTTAATTTAATTCATAGATTATCCATTTTTTAACTTTAGAGGGCAATGACTGTTAATCACTCAAATTGAATTTTATGTTTATCAAAATATGAACAATTCGAGTTTTTCTTAATGAAAATCTTGATTTAAAATGTTGGATTTCTTAATTTATAATTTGAATCACTCCATATCAAAAGTTATTGTTCTCTAATATGTTTAGAGTGAAATTTGAATTATGGCATAATATAAAATTTAATTTTGGAGTAACCATCAACTCTCTAAATAGAATAGTTAATTATTTGAAAATTTAGCTTTATATTTCATAAAATATATTTAATTGGAAAAATATTTCTCCTATTTATTTTCTTGGAGAAATGTCTTTAAAATATCATTTCAGATAAAGTTGTCATAAAAAGGAATAACCAATTATATTCATGGAATGATCAATGGTTTGAACTAGTTTGATTTCAAATTAGGTTCAAACTAGATTTGAAAATATGAAATTGCATGGTTCAAAATAAAAATCTTGGTGAGCATCAAAGGGTCTAATGATGTGGGAAGGAGGCCTCAATAGCATCTTTGGTTAGGTGGAGGCCTCAAGATCAAATTTGAATCGAGTCAAGTTAATTTTGTATGTGATTGCCTTCAAAAATAAGTCAAAAAATTATAAAATGAACTCGATCATTTTTTTAAGAAAATAAATAAGTATATATAATTATATATATACAACTTTTTGGCAAAAGTAGTGCGAATATATTTTTAGTAGAAAGAGGATTCTCCCTAGTTACGTAGAAGACTTCGTTGTTAGATCGTCCTTCCTCGTTGGGCTAGCATTCCCTCGCTCCTCTGGCATTTCTCCTGCTTTTCAAAATACACAGAGGCCAATCCTCAAAATTACAGCTAGAAATTATTCTGTGCGGAGTCTGGATGTAGCTCTACGTCCAGACTTCAATTAAATCTTGACACGTGGAATGAACACATGGATATTCAATTGAATTTTTATTTTATTTTTCTTATCAACCCGACTGACTCGAGTCGATCCATAGATGAAAATTTTGAATCAACAGGAGTTCAAAAGCTCTGAGCTAGGTCATTATACTTTTCATCCCGACTTTTTATTGTTCACTCTCTCTCGTTCGGTATTCCAAATGCTTCTCTGCAAACATGTGCCATCCTTTGGCATTGCATACAGTGGAAAATTTCGTCTCCACGTGCAAATAGGTGAGCGTCTTTGATTCTCTTTGCTGCATATTAACAAGTATCGATACCATATTAAGTTCTTCTAATTTAAAAATTAAGTCGTTTTTATTTGCTTTAAATTTTCTAAGTTATTTTTTTTTCATTTTAGCCTCATTTTAACTGTGTTTTAAGTGTGCTATTGCTACGTATTTGCTTTCATGGTATTAGATCATATATTGTCTTCTTCATTTTTCAAAACTAGGTTGTATATCTTTAAATTATCTAGTTACATTTTTTAATGGCGTTTTTCATTGTGCATTTGCTACTACACTTTCATTGTGCTTTCATTGTATTTTTTCTATTGTGTTTCTCTGCTCTTTCACTGTTCTTTCACTGCGCTTTCCACGTAAAAATCTTGGTCTCTTATGAATACTACACCCTCTCTTTTTATTTGTATGCATGATGGATCTTCGTACAAAACTAAGACGTTAAACTATATATATTTATCTATCACCATGAATATTCTAGAACGTGACAATAATATTCTTATCTCATAAAAAATTATATCTAAATAATATTTGATCATATAACAAAATGAACTAACCATCATCGCATATATATCTAAAGAGGATACACAAAGTTAATCAACAACCCAATTGAGCTCTTATAATGACTTGAAAATATAAAAAAGTGATCCATCTCTTTTTTTTTTTTTTTTTGGCTTCTCAATCTTTGTTTTTCATGTAATTGAGAGTAGGATTGAATCAATTCTCATCAAATAAATTTGAATCTAATACATCACAAATAAAATTCATATTTAAACTAAAATCTCATTCCATTTCTTTGTCTCCATATGTAATATATAATGCTAGTTATTATAATTATTATTGGCCTGGAATAGGTTAAACAGAAATGACTTTGAAAGAAAAAAAATCACATAATTGATTAAATAGTTGAATCTATGCTTTATAACAAAATTCCAAACAAAATAACATAAGAGGGTGGTCTAAAATAAGAGGAGAGAGTTTTAAAATTAATATGAAAAAAGATCAAACCTATAAGGGGTTAACTAAACTAATTCAAATTTTGATCTAAAAGGATGACCCATCTGATTGTTTAACCATTAATAATAAAGGTTAAAAAAAGGGAGCTTTGGAAGTCCTACATTAAAAATGTAATATTGAAATAATTAAGCATGAATTAAAGTGGTCGAAAGCCTCATTCCTCATCTTCAAGACAAAAATACAGTCATATTTATATTATAATCATTTTGAATAGCATGAAGAAAATTCACTTAATTATGGCTATTAACAATCTAATCTAGAGCCCACACAAATTCAAGATAAGCTCAAAGTTATTCAATTTGATCTCAAGTTCATATTAAAAAGAAGCTTAATATTTATACTACTATATATAAATTCTCATTTTCAATCAGAAATTGGCATTTCTCAACATAAACAATTAAAAAAAAAAAATTCTTAAAAAAAAATGTTCAATTCATGTTTTAAAGTAGGTGAAATATGCCTTTACAAACCCAATAATTTTAAAACATGAATTGAACTTTTTTTTTGTTTACAATGTGCAACTGTAGAAGAGGATCAATTATTTTGTACGGACATCGAACGTCATTCGGAGACCAACCAGAATGTGTCACATCACCCCTTCGTTCGGTACTGCTAAAGTGGTTGCACCAGATTTGCCTCCGAACGTAGAGCTACGTCGAGCTTCCGCACATAATAATTTCTCGTTGAAGAGACATGCCGTCAAAAAACTTTCATTTATAGTTTAATTAGTTGATGTCACAATCCAAACAAAATAGTACATGTATTAAACCTAGAGAGAAAACAAATTCCCTTAGACAAAGCAAAAAAGACATTTCGAACTACAACAAACCACCATTACCAACAGCCTTCTCTCTTCTGAAACCCCTTCCAATCCATAAGCTCAAGCCTGCTTGTCCAAACTTCAGTCTATTTTCACAGAAGAATAGATCTTTCGCACAAACCAGAAACAAGCATAAAATCCGATCGTCCCGGTCAGCACAAAGAAAGCATATGATGCAATAAGCATATATCCAAAGTAGAGAATCCCTGAGACGAGCTTCGTTATCTCAAGCTTCGTAAAGAAGTAGAACGTAGCATACAAGAAGAGGTACAGTGCAGAAGATCCTGCAGTTAAGTAAGCCCTCCACCACCAATGATAATCCTCGCTACATAATTGGAAGTAACAGAGAACAATGGTTATCTCAGCACAAGTAATGAAGAGGATGATGAAGACCAGGAAGAGGAAACCAAATATGTAGTAGAACTGATTCAGCCAAATGGATGTCAGAATGAAGAATAGTTCAATGAAGACAGCACCAAATGGAAGAATGCCGCCGATGAGCACAGAGAATGCTGGTTGCATGTACCAGGCTTGCTCAGGAATCTGCCTGGGGATCTTGTTGGTTTTCACCGGGTCTTCAATTCCTGGCTTCTTGAAGCCAAGATAACTGCCCACAAAAACCAAAGGCACTGATATGCCAAACCAGAGGAAAACCAAGGCGAACATGGTACCAAAGGGAACTGCTCCAGAAGACTTCTCACCCCAGATCAAAGCGTTTAGAACAAAGAAGATTGCGAAGACGATGCCTGGGAACATGAAAGCAGTTTTCAAGGTGATCTTTTTCCACTCTGTACCCTTAAACATCTTATAAAGCCTAGCTGAAGCATAGCCGGCAAATAGGCCCATGAAGACCCAGAGAAGAACCATGGCAGTCATGAGACCGCCACGATTTGAAGGAGATAGGAAGCCGAGCAACGCAAACATCATAGTCACTAGAGTCATTCCTAAGAATTGAACGCCGGTTCCGACGTAAACGCAGAGCAGACCGGAGTTAACGGGAGGGCGGAAAACATCACCGTGTACTAATTTCCACCCAGTTTCTTCTTGGGCTTCATCTTGAGTCTCTAACTGATTGTAGTTAGCTATATCTCTATAAAGGGTTCTCATCATGATCATAGCAACCATTCCAGAAAGGAACAGCACAATCATTAAGGAATTTATAATGGAAAACCAATGAATTTGATCATCATTCATCAGAAGATAAGTGTCCCAACGAGATGCCCATTTGAGTTCACTAGGCTGCAATTGGTCAAACCATTGATTTAAGTTTTTTTTTTTTTTTTTTTTTTAAGGAAAGGAGATACTGTGGTTATAGGAGAAAATACCTGGAAAGTAACATCATAAGTGAAAACAATATGTGTATCAGCAGTCACTTCCTGAGGACCATGAGTGCCAGGAGCAATTTTGGTGTTCGGGTTGCATGTCAGCAATCTAGGATTCTTATCATCCCAGTCATTGTATTCATGATGCACGCTGTTAAACAGAAGATTAAGTCAAAAAAGGGTGACAGGATGATTAAGCATTTGATAGGAAATACTTGAGTTCGCAAGTAACCCTAAGGGTAATACTCGAGTTCGCAAGCAAACCTATCACCGATTGGTGAAAAGAGCGAGAATAATGTGAAATCTGGTGAAAATAGCCCAAAATGATATATTGCGGTTCAGGGTGAACCAGCCAGCCTAACAGCATTCAATTAATTAACAATGACAAAATAGCAACTGTTCCATCATTAGGTAGCTCATTTAGCAGCATAAATTAGGTAATACATTCAGCAATTGTATGAAGGTCTTTGTGCTCCCATTCAGCAATTGCGTAACTCATAATAGTAGTACAGCTGATTCACCTGCTGGGTGTAACCTCAAAACCAACTATACGAGCATCATCTGAATCGTGGTCTTTATGATACTTGACAGTGAAAGCCAAGTGGTTGTTGATATAGTATTTTTCATCTTTGCTCTAACATAGAATCAAGAGTATTATCAGCAACTATCGCAATAAATGCATCACAAAATAAAAAAAGATGCCCGTACCCCAGAAACTTGGTTGTCTTTATAACCAACACGAAAACCATGTTCATAACTTGGTATTTGACTTGCATCTCTTCTTTGTCTAGGAACTGCAGCAGGAAGATTATCCAATATCCTACATAGAGCATCATACACTTGTCAAATATCGAGCATCTGCAATATCAGTGGCATATGTAGTAGAAAAGCTAGAAGATTGATAAGGCTCCACATTATTATTAGATGAATATATCATCTACATAAAGTTTTGTGCGTTTCCTGACTACATCAACGCAAAAATAATATGAAAGATAAATGGGTTAAGATTTATCTCACATCTCAAATCAATTTAGAACATAATGGTACTATCAAGAACATTAAAAAAGGATTGTGGGAAATATTTAACGGTTTAAGTATCACCAACTATACGAGCATCATCTGAATCGTGGTCTTTATGATACTTGACAGTGAAAGCCAAGTGGTTGTTGATATAGTATTTTTCATCTTTGCTCTAACATAGAATCAAGAGTATTATCAGCAACTATCGCAATAAATGCATCACAAAATAAAAAAAGATGCCCGTACCCCAGAAACTTGGTTGTCTTTATAACCAACACGAAAACCATGTTCATAACTTGGTATTTGACTTGCATCTCTTCTTTGTCTAGGAACTGCAGCAGGAAGATTATCCAATATCCTACATAGAATCATAAACTTGTCAAATTTTGAGCATCTGAAATAGCAGTGGCATAGGTAGTAGAAATATAAGGATACTAGCTAGCAACCGTGCAGTGCAAGGCTGAGAAAAGCTAGAAGATTGTTATAAGGATACTATCAAGAACATTAAAAAAGGATTGTGGGAAATATTTAACGATTAAGTACCATTAACTCAATTATTAGAATTATAAAATTATGATAGAAGCAAATCCTGAAAGACTATTTCAACAGTAACTGAATGAAACTAGAAAGAAAAAACTTCCAGGGGAAAATGAACAAGTAAGAAATTGCAATAGAAAGAAGAACACTGTGCAAATCTTTTGTGGAGACAAATGACAGTTATGAATCAATTGTTTAAATATCTAAAGCTAGTTTAAATAAAATAAAAGGAATCATAGCCCAATTCTGAAAAGATTTTTTAAATAGGGAAGTAAATTGAAACATAACACTTGACAGCCATTTTTAAAGAAGCAACCACACAAATTAGGCAAAAAGTAAGTGGAATAGAAACAGAAACAAAAAAAAACACAACTTTTTATTTACATATTAGTTGAGATACTTACTTCCCCTAGTTAAATAAGAAACATCCAAAATACCCGTCTCAATTTAATTGTGCGTGTCAATTGTCTTTTAACAAATATCTTTTTCAAAGCTTGATAGGAACTCTATAATAAAAAGATCAAGATAAATTTCAATTATCCAACATGTCACTTAATATAGAAATAACTAAAGCTATTTAAACAAAACAAAATAAAATAAAGGAATCATAGCCCAATTCTGATAACAATTTTGAAATAGAGTAGTTAGCAGAATCTTGCCAGCCATTGTTAAAGAGATCCAACCCAAAAAATTAGGGAAAAAGTGATAGGAATAGGAAAACAAACCAACCCGCATTTTTTTATTAAGAGTACAAATTAGTTGAGATGCTTACTTCCCCTAGTTCAATAAGAAATATCAAAAAGAATGGAAATTATACAAATCTAAATTAAATATGTGCCCCGTGCCAAGTTAACTGTAGGCATGTCAATTTTTTTGGGCCTATGGCAAATATCTCTTTCCAAAACTTGCTAGTAACTCTGTAACAAAAAACTCTAAATAAATTTCACTCATGCGACATGTCAATAAAGAAATAATCTCAAAGGCCATATTAAATTTGTTCATGTAAAATAATAAAGATTTTAAAGCCTTCCTAGACTCTAAGAGATCAATTATCCCCTTTTATTCAACTGAAAGTAATCCTTACTCATATGACAGTCTCGCTTTAATGAGAATGGATTTCTCATTGATTTTTCTTCACAAGGAAGAAAAATAAAATGACCTTTATGATACCAAAAAGCATTTGGAATCTCACAACAAATTTCTTCATAAAATTAGTTAGATATATTCTCTTTTTTTAGATGTATTCCAACTGAAATTTCCAAAAATAGTTATGATTTGAACTTTTTAAGAAAATTCAGCTGAATTTAGTTTTGATTTACCTTATTAATCTCATTAAGGATGATTTCTTTTGGATATGTGATAAATTGAAAAACAAATTAGCCCGCAAACTTTACTTAAAAATACCACCATCATCAATTTTGATCATAGGCTTGATTTTATGAAGGAAAGGAGTGCCTAAAGCGGTATGGTGCATAAGATTTTGCACTAATAATGATGTATGAATACAGAAATGTTCTTTGCTTATTGATGCCTTAAGATAATTTGTATTAAATACTCATTTTATTACCACTAACTAAAATCATGCATTGAGTAATTTTCTCAAAATATTTACAAGTTATAATTTTTTTCTTGAATACAATATATAGATGCTCCACTACATAACTACATACTAGAGCAAAAAAAATTTGTTAATGATATCATTCCCCTCTCACAATAGGATAAGTGGCGGTAATAACTTACCCTTTTGCAAGCATGAGAACTCTATAAAAAAGCAAGCATATCACAGAAGGTATCGCTCACTGATTGTGTCGGGCAAGAAAGAGCATTTACCCAAAGTTTCTTTTTTTCCCCCTAAATTCAAAATGTTGAGTCGGCCTAAAAGTTTTGACATGATATTTAAGAAATTCAGCAGGTTTTTGAACTCTTGGTTAACAAAGTTCTAGCTCTACAAGGCATAATATTAATAAAATATGTTGAAATTAATGCACTATTTCATCCAATTTTTCGTATTAAAACAAATAACAGTGTCAATGCTTGTGTGGACGAGACTGCAGAAGCATGAGTTAGAAATACAACATATTTCTAGCAAAACTATAGAAGAAACTGGTACATAAATTAAAAAAATATAAATAAGCTAAATAATTTATATAAAGCTCTAGCGAGGCTGGGTAAATAAACAGTTTCACTACTTATAATTAGCAAATATAAGTTAAGTTTTTTGCACCACCAAAGGCTTCAAATACAAGGTGCACTTACATGTTAACTCGATACTCATCATCAATCTTCTCCTTGAAGTTCTTGAGACCTTCGACACTAAGCTTTTGCCGACAGGCAACTTTGCATGACTCATCAATCCTCATTTTAAACTGAGTTGAGCACGATTCATTTTTTGAGAAAAAAAAAATCAATTTTGTATTAGTAACAAAGAATCCAAGCCTAACCTTGGTTGAATTTTGTCGAAAAGCCTTCCATAATTTGGAGCTAAAAATATATTTAAATGGGATGAAGCTATTATAGATGATAATGATCTTCCAACCATAAAAATTCATTTGAATGCATGAATGAGTAGTACTAAAGTAGAAAGGAAAGATAAAGATTTACTGAATAGACAGAATTCTCAATACGATCACCACGAAGGACCTCTCCCAAATTTTCAGCACTGTTCACTATTGTTTCAGGTTTACAGTACTCCAAGTAGTAGTGATCATATGGAAGCTGCGTTTTTGTAGATGAAAGCTTATTCACTTTCACCTGCAGTTCATCCCCCTGAACAAAAAATCATATTAAAATAAAAAACATATAGCACTTACTATAAGGTAAACGAACTAAGATAAAGGATGAATTGTAAAGCACATATCCCAAAATTGGCTTCCAGTTTGCCATATATGGGCTGCCCATGCAGAGTAAGGAAGAAAACAATTTAAGGGGTTTTTGGCTACATGTAGGATTCAATTCAAGTAGGATTCACTAAATTCTATAAATCCATATTTACTAAATCCTATGTGGGTTAAATCCTATAAACTGCTTGGTATGCTAAGTGTCAAATCTAGATACACTTTTTTGGCTAGTTATTTAAGGATTTAAGGATTTATATGATTTTATTTTGCTTAAATCAACCTATTAAATAATACTTATCCGATTAAACACCTTAACTGATAATTAATTAATGATTTAGTAAGTAATTAAATAATAACTTATATTTAAACATATTAAATCAAAAATAAAATAATATCAATTAAGATAATCAACTGCTAATTAATTATTATTAATTATTAAGTTAAAATTAATTTCTTGATTAATAGTTAGGACATACACAACATAAATTAATTAACATAATGTTAATTAATAAAGCTTTTATTAATTATAATTATGTTAATTAAATTATAATTAACTAAGAATAATGTTCAAATTACTCATTAATTAATAGTTTATAAAATTCAACACTGAAGTCGTAATAGGAGCTCATTGGAGAATGCATCAATGGGACCATATATTAGTGGTGTTTCCTGTTGAGTTGCCACCCACTGAAATAAAAGACTTGCAAATTTAAGTTAAATTCGGCCGATTCCAACACTTGCTAAATCCGGGATTTAAGGTACAACAGGGTAGAAATGGGATTTAAGATTATGTAGGATTTAAAGTTGTCATATTTGTGTTTGGAATAATCTAGACTAAATCCTACTTAAATCATGCCACGAAAACCTTTGTATTTGCTAAAGAAAGGAATTGGATATTAGGGCTTTAATATACCTACACTAGCATCCATGAAAAAAAGTAATAAATTGTTTTTGTCCTAGTTAAAAATGAGCACATAGTTTTGAAGTTATTTCTCCACATCAGTAAACCATCCATTGAAATTAATAATTTTAAGCAATCCACTGAAACAAAGAAATCTAAAACATCCACAGAAAATGAGCCATTGATGACAATCAAGTGCCTCAATTGAACAGATAAATCAAATGTGAATTGCAAACTCCATGTATACATAAGAAAAAAAGTAGCTACAATTTTAAAACATATGAACTTCATGTTATAAAATATAGCCAAAAAAAAAGTGCATCAAATGAATGAAGTTCCCACCAATGACGGGTTTGAGGAGCGATTCTTAATTCTATATTTGCATAAAGGCTGTTTCCTAACACAATGGATGCAACTTAAATATTGCTCTAGAGTCATCCTCTATAGCAACACCTGTTTAATTCTCCCTAAACAAAACAGCCAGAAAAAAAAAATGAAAGAATTTTTTAGTGTGTCTGTGTGTGTCTGGTATATGTATGTAGAAAGGTTGGAACCCACACTAACAGGAAAGGATTATCAATAGAACATGTCAAACAGTTAGATCCATGTACAAGCAGCAAAGTTACATAAAACATGATAAATACAAAAAAGTATCCTAATGATTACTTTATGATTGCACGTAAGAAAACTTGACGTATCCAGATAGTGCAGATAGTAAGAACAGAGCGGATCCCTAAACTGGAATCCGCATCCTGCGCTTCACACCAAAATATGCAGTCAGAGTACAAAACAACGCAAGCTCAATTCGAAAAAAACAAGAACCAAGCCCTCCCACCACTTTGGCTAGCAGGGCAAAACGTAACAAAGGGAAACTCTTAAAAACAGAAAGCAATATTAGTTAAGTTCCAAGCAGACATTCCCTCCAGCCAAAAAAAGGTGGAAATAGAAAACGCAGCGAATTCAGAGCTGGATCCCCAAGCTCGACGAAAGGAAATGAGTAAGGATAAAAAGTGCTGGATTCAAGCAGCACGCAGCATGCCGAACCTACCATAGAAATCCACGCATCTAAAATCTGTAAACATAAAAAATAAACCGGAAGCCTAGATCTCCAAAAGAAAATCAGAAAGCAACCAAACCCCTAGCTAGATCCGGGTCAACATTAGAGTAACAGTTGAATTACCCTCTGGAAATCGCTGGGAGCAACGCCAGGGAGGTAGAAGGCCCTTGATAAAGGAAGGAGGAGAAGGAACGATAGGAACAAGAAGACGATGCCACCGGGTTTCCCCATCTCAGCAGTAAAGGAGAAGCAGCTGAATTGCCCTTTCACGGGAAGCCACATGCGAACGAAGAAGCGGAAGAACAGAGAAAGTTGAGAAAAATCCGTGTTGTTACTTATTAGTAGGACAGACAGAGAAGAGAAACCGGGTCAAGCCGGCCTGATTCCGGTCCGTTGATTAATTAGACCGAAATAACCGGGTTGGGATTCATTTCTAGTTCCTTCGCACGTACTCTTTAGTCTTAACATTCGTTTTAGCTTTTAATGGTGTTATTATTATTCTTAAGGCTACAAATTTTCTGAATAAAACCAAATTTTATTTTGTTCAAATTAGTAAAGTTATTTTTTATCCCATTTTTAAAATATAATTCGTGTTTTTAATTAAATTTAGCTGCTTAAATTAAATTAATTATATGTAGAATTTTAGTGATTTAATATCAAAAATATGGAATTCTTAATGATCTTTCTATTAATAATAAACAACTTTGAATTTCTTATTTGAGAGATAATAGAACAATGCACTGAAATGTCGCACAATAGTGGTTAAGATGCTTGTAAATATACATAATAATTTTGTAATAGTTGATGAGCTTATAAATATTAGAGGACTTATTGTAAACATCTATAGCAAACAACACGAACCTCACAATAATGTAATGTTGGAGAATTGACACTCCTAAAAGCCATAGCAATGAGAAAAGCTACTTAAAAGGAATTCGTCAAAAAAAAAAATATTAAAGTTCATCACTTATGCATCATTATGGCTTCGTTTGGGACGGCTTTTTTATTGCTTTCTAAAACGGAGTTTTAGTACAAAAATAAAAAAATTTGTACTAAAACTCTGTTTTAGAAAGCAATAAAAAAGCCGTCCCAAACGAAGTCTATGTGTGTTTAAAAGGCGAGGTTATACAGAGCCATCAAGGATGTTGGGGGATTAGAGGAAAATAATAAAAGAATGATGGATTAAGCTAGTAGTGTCATGGAGATTATGATGAGATTATGGTGAATGAGGAGCTTTAGTATAACGGCAAGGGGACGTGTACTGCATCCTTAATTTTGAGCAGCTCTAACCTATTGTTGATTTTATGATAGGCAAACTTCCCCATGTAGTGATATCACTCTCTCTTGGCTAATTTCTTATAAGTGATGAAGGATTTGAACATGATGATTTTCCGTTCTGCAAATACAATTCTTAAAAGATAAGCCTAAGAGGCCTTCACTAGCAAAATTATGACATCCTTCATTGAGGGAGTAGCTGTCATATTGAGCGTGTTAGAGAGGGAATCCATAGTGACAGTTTACTTTTTGTAAACCAATGGAGAAGATAGAATATGTTGTCTTGGATTTTACTCATTTTAACCATTGAGGGAGTGTTTATAGATTAATGGGAGTACTTCTGACAAGTAATATTAAATTATTACATATTGAAATATTCACGATAATTAAAAAGGAGTTTAGCATCTTAGCTTTATATGAAGATTGTGTGCACAAATAAAGTTAACTTAAAAGAGATTCCAAAAATTAAACGTTAAATTTTCAAAAAGAGAAAATCATAGGGGCTTAGCTCACTTGAAATAATAAACTATATAAATAAGATTAATGAAGCTCAATCTTCCCTTGAATTGGAGAAATTGAAATTACAAAATATGGACTATTAGCTTTCTCTTCAATGAATATGATGGAGAGTATTGAAGAAGTAGTGAAGGACGAAGATAAGAATCAAGAGACATGTTAATCGATAGAAGTTAGTTGCATCTATATATGATGGTAGTTCTCAGGCAATGATAGTTAGATGATAACCATTAGACAATAGGAATCATACGATAGTAGTTGAGCTATGCTAGTCGGATGATGATGCTCGAGTAATGGTGGTTTGACGACAACAGCCACGTAAGGATGCTCACATGATAACGACCGTTGGTGATGATTGTGAGTATAGCTCTTGTGTTCGTTAGATCTCAAAACACTTTCAAATTTTAAGCCTCCCATGCGAAGAAAAGCAATCAATTTGTAAAATTTTAGAGCGTGATATTTTAATAATTTTAGTAAAAATATTCAAATACTCCATTGGCTAATGTGTCTTGATTCTCCCGATTGTATATTATTTCGTATACGCTTAATTTCTTAATGATACTAGAATTGAGTAATATTATGTTTGTTGAAATTTTCTCATTGAGATGTTTGATTTGAACAACCACATAATATTTAAATATCATTTTATATCATAAATAGTGTCATGAAATTTTAAAATATGCTTCATTTGTTTGATTTGAACTCATTTTGACTCAGATCAAAATACTTTTTGTGTCATTAGACTTGTTTCATCAAAATATTTATTTTGATTATAAGTTTGTTGAATTTAAATATCATAGGATCCTTAATTTAATTTTTAAAGTTTTTAATTCAAATATTATATCAAGTTCCATATTTGATCAAATGCATTTTTCGGGGCAAAAATATTGTAACATTTTAAGCATGTAATAAAATCTTAAATATTTTTTTGTCCTTTAAAATAGAAAATATTCATTCAAAACATTTTCAATCAAATATAGGTGAAATATTTACAAAAACATAGTATGATTATATTAAATAAGGGTTTATATATATATATATATTATTGGTCTTGTTTTTACTCAAACTCTTGGCCAAGGAGTTTGACCTAGTCAAATTGACCAAGCCAGGCCCCAAGATCACCTCCCTTGTGTTCAGTGGGTCAAATCAAGTTTGTTGAGCCTAGACCTAGGCTCTGGTTCAACTTGATTGACTAGGTTAACCTGTGTTAACCCAAATTGACCCAAGCTCCTTTACTTGATTTCAAATATCTTCCAATGCTCCTTTGGCTCAATTCTAACCTCCCCTGGACTCAGTAGGTTATACCCAATCTATTGAGCCCAGACCCATGCCTTGGGTCAACCTGGTTGAATAGGTCAACCCATGTTGACCCATTTAGCATAATTAAACCCAAATCAAATCCAAATCCAATCAAACCCTATCTCTTGCTCCAACCCCCACACCTTTGGGTCTAATTGACTAGGTTGACCAGGTCAACCCTAGCTCCCCTTAGTCAAATTTGACCTATGTAGGTCAAATTAATCATATTTAGTGCATTGAAATCATTCCAAATCCTCCCTAGAGCCAAACCATGGCCAATTCACCTTGTTTTCTTACCTAATTGACCATAGATTTGATCTTGGCCATTAGTTATAACCCTAGGACTATAAATAGGGAGTTTAGGTCAACCTTGAGAACACCTTTGCATTTTCTCTCTTCCAAGAGCCCCCAAGCCTGAGCCCTTACTTGTGTGTGCTCCTTAGACTTCTCTTCTCCTTTCTCTACCTAAATCCACTGGTGAAAGCTTGTCGTCGACGAGCCTCTAGTACACCAAGGGTCAAACTCTTCATAGACGAATCCACGTCAATTCACTATATTTTGAAACGCAGTTTCTTTTACAAATAGGAGCGTGGGGCAGTCTACAAGTGCAACAAGACATTAAACGGGTTAAACCGTCCATAAACCAAGGTGAAATTGCCAACTCTTGTTCACTAAACTTAGATCTAAATAGATTTATGTGCATCACATTTTAGAACACAAAACTACTTTCTCATGAATGTTCTTCATTCATAGGACTTATGTTTAAAATTTCATTCTAAATTGTTCATCCGATTTAAAGAAAATCATTAAAAAAAAAAAAATTTAAGGCGTCAGTTTACGCCCTATTATAAGTATACGGCATCAGGATCATTCTCCAAAAGAAGTTTCAAGATATAATAAAAATTAAAACTCAACAAAAGGTAGAACTATTTTTCCTTTTTCTATCTGATAATCCAAATGCTTCAAACTCTTCCATCTCTACTCTTTAGTACAAAATAGTATGCAGCAAACCTGAAAAATAAATAAAGATAAAAAACATAAACTTGATAAGAAGTTTTCACCTGAATAATAAATGCAGCAAACCTGAAAAATAAATGCTTCAAAATCCTTAAACTCTTCCAACTCAGCACGGTTCTCTGCGATTCAGCAACACATTTAAGAGAGGAAAAGGTATGATGAAAACAGGAGACATGAAGATGCATGACCGGGTCTAACCGAAGCCGTGACTATGAAAAAAATGCTTACAGGTTAGAATTATATTCACCCACCTGAAGACCCTATGCAAACAGGAGACATGAAGATGCATGAAGAATATTGAACATTATAAAAAGAAAGACATAATATGAAGATACATCAGTAATTATGAAAAAAATGCTTACAGGTTAGAAATATGACAATCTCCATCAGTAATTATGAAGAGACATGAAGATGCATGAAGAATATTGAACATTATAAAAAGAAAGACATAATATGAAGAGACATGAAGATACATCAGTAATTATGAAAAAAATGCTTACAGGTCTTTACTTTTAAATGCAGATACATCAGTAACTATGAAAAAAATACAAACAGGTCTAATGCAGAATAAAGAGCCATGAAGAATATATTTCTAACCTCAAATTTTCTCATGTAATCGGTAGGACAATCTCCACCTCTTCATCATCTTCCTCCTCCTACAAAAGCAAAGATAATTGAATATTCATATGTAAGTATTTGGGATACGAAACATATGTGTTCTATCTTGTATATAACATCATTACCTTAACCCTTCCCTTCAAGCCATAGTGGCAGCGAACCCAGTTGGAGCCACAAAGGAGAGCTTGCATAGTGTCAACCCCTAATTTTGATCGGTATTTATCAACTACTCTTTCTCCAGCACTGAAAGTGGATTCTGAAGCAACTGTACTAACAGGGATGGATAAAATATCCACTGCCATTCTCGAAAGTATGCGGTATTTGGCTTGATTGTTTTTCCACCATGCTATCACATCAAACTTATGTCCTTCACTACAAAGTTCTAAGCCATTTTCCAAGTAGTTGTCTAAATCTGATTTTGTAGGCCTGGTGCTTGTTTTGGATGAGACAAATGAGGTGAAATCATGCCAACCACTATATTTTTTAGAATTAGATTGATGGTCTACACTTTGCAATGAATTGGTTGTGCTCCTTGAACTCCCTCCTACAATACCATCATCACCATCAAATTCGGCTTCAGAACTTCTAACTTATTCCTCATACATTTCATAGAGAAGACATCTAACATGCTGCACATTTCTCATGCCTTCATCTCCATGATATATCTTAGGGTAGGCAAACTCAATTACAACAAACTTCATTCTTGGATCCATCACTGCGCCAAAAGCCATGAGGAGATTACATTCGCCTCAATATTTATCAAATTTAGCTTTCATCTTCTTAGTCATATCCACTATAAAATTATCAGTAGAAATTGCCCCATCATCCAACACTTTCTTAATAGTACAGATTTGTGAAAGAAATAAATTTGCTGTAGGATTGCCTTTTAAATACTTTGAACTTCGATAATTCATAGTAAATTTGTTTTAAATCAGATTATTGCGTATAATACCTCATTATTTTTTAAAAATAAAGTATTTTCATATAAAATTATTTTTAGATCCTAAAAATTTATTAATTTTTATGAGCTATTTTTCTAATTGTTTAGTTATTTTTATTATTTAACTATTATTTAAATAAATAGTCTATTATTTTTGAAATTATTTTGAAAATCTCCTTGGGTGATCAATGGATCTCCCTTATATTATTTACTTTTATACATTGAATTATTTTTAATTATATTATTTTCTAAAACCTACATATTTATTATATATTTTTTAATTATTTTAAAACTACATATATGTTAAATCCCTTAAACATAGATTATTCATATAACTAATATTCATGGGGGTAGATTAGTGAATGGTCCGAATCATTCACTAATTACATCACTAAATTGGCTTAGTTCTTATTTTTGTTATATTTTTCCTGTGTAGGACACACAAGTACCTAGTTTAGGCCCTCCTCATATTTTTCTAAGGACATGGAGTGTTTATATTTTTATGCATTCTCTTTATGTTATCCTAAGGGTTAGTCTTGAACATGTGATTTAAACATATTTAACATAACGACACCCTAAGAATAATAATTAAGGATGCGTCTAGCAAATTTAAAAAAATTCTATGAACCATGGTAGACCTTCGATTGACATAAAACTTTAAACACTTAAACTTAGTGACATCTTAAACCTCACAGAATTTTCTAGAAATTTTTAAGAGCCTTTAAACCCCTTAATTAATAAACCTTGATTTAACCCATAATTAATCCCCAATAATTTCAAAAAAATCTAATAAATTTATTTTAAATAAAAAAATTACCTATAATACCTTAAACTCTTCAAAATGTAAACCTTAATTTCAAAAAATTAAAATTCCTTTAATTGGATTGTACATATTATTACCAATCAAGGTGCGTTGGCTAGAACCGCTATCCTCAATGGTTAATCATATGTGAGATCTAATCTACCTTCCATTAGCCAGCTTGCAAAGAGCGTGCAGGCCTGCGTCGTCTTGTCCTTCGAGATGATGCTGTTGTATACCCCTCTGTATTCAATTCCCCACACAGCAGTGTCCTTTCAGACACTATATATAGGTCACAATTAGGGATTCATATGAATTGATCTGAGTCAAGCAAAATATTGCTTAAACTTTAGATAGTTTGCAAAAACCCTATTCGAGTTTGATATATAGCTTGATTTTCATATGTATAATATTATTTAAACTCAATTCATTTAAAAGTATGTTAGTTGAGCTTGATTTGAGTTCGACACATTAGTTAATCAAATGAACCGTATTGAGCTAATTAATGAGCAATATAATTGAGCAACATGTTAGTTAACTAAATGAGCCTTATCAAGCATATCGATGAGGAGTCTAGTGAGCTTAACAATGAGATTTTAATTGATTGAACTACTAATAAATAAATATTTTAATGAGCATAAAACAAGTAGCTTGTATTAAATAAATACAAACAAACATAGAAAAGACAAGACTCTCACATAATCAAAGATATTAAATAAATTTATTCATGATCTGTAAATGTTATAATTCATAATTTTAAATAAATCATACATCAAGTTGTTCAAACTTGTTTATTTATCAATCAAGAATTTATAGAACTTTTCAAGCGTATTTGATTAATCAATTAAAAAAAAGATGAATGAGTTCTAACTGAGGTGAGGTAGGAGTAATTTGTCAAGCAGATTGGTTCATTTGAAGATCTAATTACAATTATGTAAGATTTATAGTGTCGATAGTATTATAATTATTGAAGGAAATTTTCTTTATCTACATATGAAAAACCATTTTGAAGTGTAACTTTATACATAGTCCCTATTAAATACCTCTCCATAATCTGGCGGCAAATATGACATCCCTATCATATTTTATCACATTTGGCACACCATGTAATCAGATAATGTCTTTGACATAGATATGTGTGAATCTGTCAACTATATAAGCTTGTCGAATTATGCATCTAACTTCTGAGCATCTTGAATATTTTCTTCTAAAGAAGACTAAATGATCATTTGAGCCACTATACTAGAATTTCAATCAGTAAAATAAATCACCTCTAACAGTAATCCCTTCATATATCGTATCAAATACTCATCAAAAGCGATCTACAAACATAATAATCCAAAAGACTTTCTACTCGGAGCATCTGTCACTGCATTAGCCTTACCAGGCTGATGCTGAATAGTCATATCATAGTCCTTGATCAACTCAAGCCACCTCCTTTGGCTCATATTCAGATCCTTCAGAGTGAAAATATTCTTTAGACTCTAATGATAACAAAAAATCTTTCACCTCACAATGTACAAATAATGACACTAAATTTTCAAAGTAAATAAAATAGAAGCAAACTCTATATCATTAGACGGGTAGTTCCTCTTACGTGGTTTTATCTTTTTAGAAGAATAAGTTATAACTTTATCATGTTCCATTAAAAAAAGCCCCTGGCCTCTTAGTAAAGCATCACTGAATAATTCAATTCCTTTTGTACCAGATGAAAGAGCAAAAACTATAGCATAAGTCAAATAATCCTTCCATCTATGAAAACTATCCTCGCACTCTAGTGTTTAGGAAAAAACTACTAACTTTTGAGTTAGTCTCGTTAGTGGTGCAAAAATCTAAGATAATATATTAAAAAACTTCTTATAATATTCAATCATACCTAAGAAGCTAAGTATCTCATGCATAATAGTAAACCTAGGCCAATTAGTGAATGCTTGAACTTTTTGGGGATCAATAGAAATACCAACACTACTCACTATGTGCCCCAAAAAAGCAATACCCGTTAACTATAACTCTTATTTAAAGATTTTTATATATAGCTAATGCTGCCTCAAAGTCTTCAAAAAAATTCTCAAATGTCTAACATAATCTTCCTGAAAAGAAGAATATATCCAAATGATATCTATGAAAATAATCACAAAATGATTTAAAAAATTTCTAAATACTCTATTTATCATATCCATAAAGACAATTGGTGCATTAGTTATCCTAAATGACATTACCAAAAATTCATAGTGTCCATATCGAGTACTAAAAGTTATCTTCATCACATCATCCTCTCTCACATTCACCTGATAATTGCAAGATTATAGATCAATCTTTTAGAATACATAAGATCTAATAAGTTGATCGAATATATAATCAATTTATTGCAATGGATACTTATTCTTGATAGTGACTTTGTTCAACTCCTTATAGTTAATACACATAATCATTGTACCATCCTTTTTCTTCATAAATAGAACATGTGCTCCATAGGGAGCACACTAGGATTAATAAATCCCCTATAAAATAACTCCTGAAGCTACACCTGGAACTCCTAAAAGCTCTTTAAGTACCATCCTATATAGAGCTTTAGATATTGGGACCATACCCAGAAATAAATCAATACAAAACTCTAAGTCTCTGTTCGGAGGAAAACTAATTAAGTCCTCAAGAAATACATCTAAAAAATCTCGTATTAATTGGATATCAGAAAGAGAACCAAAATTTATACTATACTAGACTAATGCCAGAAATATCATACAAATCTTCTTCCATAATCTATATGCTTCCACAACAAAGATCAAACAGGATACACCTCTAGCTCTCTGGAATATATAATTCTCAGTGCCTAAAAATAATGTAACTTATTTTTTCAAATAATCAATTTGAGTCATATACTGACTCAACCAATTTATATCCAAAATAATATGATCATATGAGAAAACGAGTAATAAAATAAGACTGGAATTTCATTTTTTTATTAGAAATCTTAATATCATATAAACAAAATCTACTGGTTATTATATCATCTACATTCAATAAAGTAATTGAAAGAGAAACATGTAGTAAAACTGAAGGTAAGTGCAATAAATTGAAGAAAATGCTCAAAATTAAAGGAATTACTAGCTATAGAATTGAATAAAATACAACATGGATGCTAAAAACATATAAATTATACATGTCATAACATTTGGAGCATCACGAGCCTCATACTGAGTCAAACTATATATACATGACCAAATAAGAGTTGGAGCAATAGAACTACTATGCTCTCTTTTTCCACCACTAAATGACCTCCTTGCCACAAAACTAGAATAACCGGCTATACCAGACCTTAGAAAAAGTATGGATTGGAATTACCCTCAATTTTTTTATCGATTTGACAAAACTCTCATATTTGGGCTTAAAACATCGATTAAATCTTTTTGTGGACATACTATTACGCGGTGATCTATTTGACTACATCTAAAGAACTCTCTAGTCATCCTATAACACTGACCAGAATGATATCATCCATAATTCTAACACACAGGTTGCTTACTAATAAAATCAGAACTGGCTATGCTGCCACTGTTAGAGACTGCTACAGATATTGACTATCAACATATCATGGAATTTACTTATATAAATATGCTCTTCTTACCAAAAAAGCCACTACTAGAAGTCTTATCATTAAATCTCTTCCTACTAGTAATCTATCACTATTAAGTAGCTATTAGATCATTCTCTATCAAATGAACTCTCTCCACCAGCTTAGAGAAATTAGAAATGTAAAATGGAACCATATATCACAGATTATCTTCAAGTTCTCTTATAAACTTGTAGCACTTTTTCACGTGAGTGCTAACTAGATGCAGAGCATATTTGGCAAAAAATAGTAAACTCTACCTCATACTACATAACTGTCATGCTCCTCTGAGCTAGTCTCAAAAAAATTTCATGTATTTATTGTCATGTAGAATGTGGTACAAATCACGCTCTAAACACATTAGAAAACTTCTCCTAATTAATTAGATAATTTAATATCCCTTAAAATTTTTCCTCATACTGACCCATCCACTAGCATTGTGCCTCGTCATCTAATTGAAATTCTCCTAATGGTACCTTCCTCTTAGGGGGGCACTATATACCATCAAATGTCTTTTTGAGCCTCCTCAACTAGTTCTCTACTACTATGGCCTTAGTAGTATTCTTGAATCTTGAAGACTTCAATCTAAAAAATATCTACATATGTCTATTTACCTCTTTATATCTCACAACTGGAACCCTACTCTTTGCCTCACCCATCATCTGAGTTATCAAAGTAACAAACTGCTAAATTGTATCTAATTTAAGTATCAGAGCATTAGTACATATAGGAGCTGCCTAACTAGCACTCTGTCCAACTATCATATATGGGTTTGGCGGGTCTATAATAATGCAGAATATGCAATTGAACATACTTGTACATAAAATAAACAATAATAAACACCTAGTCATACTCAAAATTACCTCACTTAACTTATATATCAATTACTATATCTCTACTTTATAATCAAATCCTAAAACTGTTAATTTGATACCATAAAAGCTTATCACAAACCAACCTAATTATGATAGGTCCTATTATGTTGTGTTGTGACAATCTAATCCCAATATTTAGTTTTGAAATATTTAGGTTTTCTTTCAAGTTCAAATAACTATAAACTACAGAGCTACTAAAACATCAATATACTAAAAATAAACTTATTCACTTGATTTTCTTTATTTCATCAAAATATATATCTACATAGTATATGGCTACATATAGAAGCAACAAAAGTAAATAATAAATTTGTCATGACTGTACAAAATAAAAAAAAATACCTATCAATTTAGATATGATCATGAACCGCTAATCCACAATCTTCTTCCCTTTTCAGATATTGAAAATCAGAAGCAAAATCACACTGAGTTACAACAGCTTAGTAGGCTACATAAACCAATCTAATTTTTTAAATATTCTTTTATCAAATATTTTACTGAATATTTAAAAGCAATTAAATACAATTTAATAATCAGCATGCTTTAAAAAAATATAATAAATGCATAACAGTTATTTTTTATATAAATAATAATACTGAACAAATAAATAAATTAAAATTCATGTCATATAACAATTCATATCATATATTATAAACCCAAACAGAATCTCAAAAGACTCTGGCCTCTTATGAATCCTTTTTGTACTTATAACACCATAACATATCATATATCTCTCTATCTCAAATAAAATCTCAAAAAATTCTCTAATTCTGGCCCCATATATCTCTCAATAATTTCTAGACACTAATAGAATCTTAGAGGATTTCAACCTCTTATAACTCTAACAGATATAATTTACAAACATATGCATATATATCATCACATTATAGCAATTAAAGAGTAATTGAGTATATTTTAAAATTGCATAGTGCTGTATAACGATAAATAATAAAAAATTCTATTAGATAAAAATACACATTTTTAAAAGATAACCATATTATTAAGAATTATAAAAAATAATATTTTAAGACTTTTATTATTCTACAACAATATTTTCAACATCCAAATCATTTTCTATTCAATAACAATCTCATAAATTTCTAAACCCCATTTTATTTTTTACATTGCATTCATTTTATTTCATTCCTTTTACACTCATCCAAACTCCAAAGTAATCCTTTTTTAGGTAACCAAACAACCTCTTAAAGTAAAATAAATGTATAACAACATTTTGACGTATTTTAAATACTTCATCCAATGCAATTATGGTGTATTTGCAAATAATTAAATTAGAGAGATTTCAAAATACATTGTTTATTCTATATCGTTGTTGGATGCCAACACTTGCTGCAATAATCTCGTTGTGGTCACTGCCCCAAATTGTCACTATCGTTGAACATTGCTACTAATCTTCGGTTGCTACCATCAACATAGCCATTGACCACACAATTTGGTTGTAATATCCCGTCATCCACCATCTGGTCACCACCTACCATCACCCACCACATGGGCCACGCCACCCGCCATCTACCATTTGGGCGCCGGTGCCTAACACTCACCAGTTGGCCACATGCATTTAGTTTATCCAAATGACAATAAATTTTTTTATCAAATTGTTAAAAAAATTAAATGATAAATATGTTTCTCCAATGAGAAATATTATTAGGCAAGTTTCATTTATTATTCCCTTATTATAAATGTATAATTATTTATATGATAATTTTTTTTTTTTATAAAACTTTAATTATGTGGAGTAGCATTCTCATCTAGACGACGCATACTAGAGCCAGGTCAGCCATACACGTGGATGCCGTGGATTGCATACCAATCAAGATCCGACGGTCGGTTGCTTTCGTCCATAAGACACTACTGTGTGAATTCTGTCGATTTTTATTTTAAAAGGTAAGATTTTTCCCCCTCTTCTTCACCTCTACACGTCGCACGTTTTCCTTCCCATCTCTGGCTACCAGACCCAAGAACCAAGGTAAGGATTCCCGATTTAATTTTCTGTTTAGTTTTCCGGATACTTTTTTATGAAGTTGGTAGATTTGCGTACCGACCTAGATGTTGATGTGTTGAGCTGCTCGGTGGATCGAATGGTTCTTCCTGATCTAACATTGAATCGATCAGTTCTTCTACTTTGAAGTACTTATGATGCCAATACGGACGTTGTTTGTGTGAATCATAAAGATCCTTATGCTACCGAAATTACTTCTTATTTGATAGGTTATCTGGATCACAATTTGGGTTTTCAGAATTTTCTGGGGAGATTAGTTAAGAAATCATATAGTTAAGAAATATATGTAAGTTAATCTTAAGAGATTAGTTCATTCCCATTGCAAGGATCTGATATTATGGTGATGTGAAAGATCTTAAGACATAGGTTTCCCACATGGAAATTATTGTCGGAAGGTTTTTTGGTCTACCGTCGTGAGCATTTTTTGAAAATGACCAAATCTAGCACACTATTTCCTGTCTAAGTGTGAATATATTAGGGTTTTATATTAATGTTCAAATGATTTCTTGACAGTACATATTCTTTGAATTTTATGTTTAAGTATAGGAGGGAAGTGCATTATTTTCGTCCCTGTTGTCATCTTCTTGTTTTAATTTAAAGCTTTTGAATTGACTTGATTTTGTATTCCAATTTTGGAAGATTTTAAACATTGAATTGTGCGAAGTATTTTCTTATTTGAAAGCTACATAAATTTTATTTGCTAGATATTTATGCTTTCAGGTCCTTTTTTATATAGATGGGTCTAGTGAAGGACGCTGCTGAAATGGAGGAAGGAACTTTATTAGTTGGCATGGGTATGGAATGACAGGAATTATTGATTATTCTACTTTTAAGAATGAACTTGTATCTCCATCTTTCTATAGTCATCTTTATGAGAAATTCAGCATATTTTGTAATTTATTCATTTGGATTTTTGTATTATTCAGTCAATTTGCTTGTGCTCAGCATGCAAAACTGTTGTTTTTTCTTTCTTTTTTTAATGGATTGGGGTTACACCCTGCTATTGCCAATGTCGTCCAATTGCAACCATATTGGACCTTTTGGGATGTGGTTAATCTTGCCATTAAGGTGAAAAGACAACAACAGATGCCCAAGAAATCCTCCAGCCGACCTTCGGTCCCTGTTTTCTATCTCTGAGCAGGATCTGCCCTCTAGCAACTCGACAACGGGTGGCGATAGTAAGCAAGAGGAGTGGAATTGGAGAAATCATGTGTGCAGGGTGCAGCTCCCGACTCCTCTACCTGCTCGCAAATGTTTCAAATGTCCAGGATTTGGAAAAATTAATTCGAGACATAAAATGTAGTCTTCTTCGATTGCAATGGATATCATACTGCTCAATCAACCTACATATACGTGAAAAGGTTGGAGTAGCTCCAGTGGAAGATAAGATTGAGAGAGTTGCCTTAGATGGTTTGGTCACATTAAACGGAGGACTTCTGAGAATTTGACTTTTAAAATAAAGGCTTGATGTTAAGAAAGGTAGAGGTAGACCTAAAAAGATTTGGTTAGAAAATATTAGAAATGATATTTCTTTATTATATTTAAATGAGAATTTGACTTTTAACAAGACTCAATGGCGAAAAAGAATTCATGTAGCCGACCCCATGTAGTGCGACAATGGCTTGATGTTGTTGTTGTTGTTATCCTCTCAAAATGTAATAGGAAATGGTAAATTGCTAATTGAGAAATGTTTAGAAACTGCAAAAAGATAGTAAAAGGACTGGACTTGTACAATTTTTATACAAAGAAAAGAAACCAGTTAAATAGTTTATTGGAATGAGAAACATGTTTTTTCTGCTTTTTTTTTAATATTGTTTTGTTTAGGAATGGGGCTGTCTAGGACCAAGCTCTAGCAAGATGATAAGTAGGCTAGCTTAGTGTAAGGCTTCATATGGCAACATTTTGGCCTAAGCAGTCAAGTGGCTCTCCAGCATCTGGGATTCTTCGTATATTAGCATTCAATGGAACTATTTTCTCAGAAGTATCCAGCTCTTCTTTCTATATTTTATTCATTACTTTCGGCGACCTTTTTTATTTCTTTTGGTAACATAGTGGTTTTAGGTTGATCCCAGCAAGAGTTGCTTGTATTACATGTTACACTAAAGTAGTATTGCATTGGGATTTGGGAGAGTTAGTGAGAGCAACATGCAAAGAATTTGAAGGAGGTCACTAGAGCTAAACTTGGTTAAGTCTTCTAATTTGGGTCTTTCAAACAAGCCAGAAACGATGCAGGTTGAAGTCCTTCTTGATGTAGAACTTGGAAAACTTTGTATTTAGTGTATAAGGTGCTATAACAATTCCAAACTTTGTATTTAGTGTATAAGGTGCTATAACAATCGATAGTGATGACGAAGACATTGAGAAATGGCTTATTAATGATCATGCTGCTTCCTTCTTTTATTAGTTGCTAGGCATGTACTTGCAGGGTTGGGGGTTCAAATAATTCTTGCGGGATATTATTCTTTCAAGTTATAAGGTTGAAGGAAGTTCAAATATATGATGCTGATGGTTTCTTTCACTTCCTGGGGTATAACTTGAGTAATGCCTGTAAATGTCCTTTTTCTTTGTTACTGCCTTGGTTCCTTGCCCATTATCTCCATGCTAGCTCAAGGCCAAGACTTACAGCCTTACAGTCTGTTTGATAATTCTTTAAGTTTCCTTTGTTATATTTCTTTATCAAACGTGAAAAGCTGTATGATTGAAGTCACTGCTCGAACTATTAAGCTGACAGAGTCAATGGCATTAACCTTGATGGTTGAAAGAAATTACAGTGCCAGTCATCGAATCTGTTGGCTAGTAGTTAGACCAGAGTAGCAACTTTCTTGTTCAGAATAATGCTAAGATTGCATTGTTATGTGCTTTACCATATGACAAGATGCCCTATCAAAGGTTGGGCAAAAAAGAGAGGGGGTTGGGGTGGTGAGCAGTGTTATGATTTTTTCCCTAAAGAAAATGATTAAAGTTCTAGTAGAGTATTTATGTGAAATATACCATGTGTATAATATATAGAGAAAAAGGACCAAAATGGTTAGCCCCTTTCATAATATTTTGGAAAAGGAAGCAATGACAATTTTTTCACTCACTCAATTATGTCATTTCTATTATATATATATATATATTAAAACCATATATTGGGAATAATATGATGCTTGGTTGGCGTGGAAGCACAAGAATGCATAGTGCTGTTAAAAAGGCCATAAACTTGCTCATAAAGTAACTTGAATTGAAATTGATTTGATTCAATTTGGAGCTCCATTGTGGACTCGAATATGTTTTTGAGTTTGTTTGGACTCGTTAGATCAAAGTTCTAGTAGCGTATCTATGTGAAATATACCATCTGTATAATATATAGAGAAAATGACCCAAATGGTTGGCACCTTTCAAAATATTTTGGAACATGTATTATGATTTGATCAGAATATTTTGGAACACTGTTACTTTTAATTTGTGTTTGTTAACACCTTTCAAAATGCGTATTAGATAATTGGTGGATAAACATTTTAAATCTTATAAAGTTGTTAGGACTCATTTGAACATTTCAGTTTGGAGCAGGCTTCCCTTAATGATAATGGGTTGCTCAGAAACTCTGCTTTGTTAAAATTTCCTCTTAAAAGTACATATATTAAAAGTCATTGTCATATATCTTGCTTGAGGTTATGCTTTTGATTAGGACTGTCTATCATGTTTCATGGCCATTCATTAAGATGATTTGTGGACCCCTTTTAGTAGGATTTCAGATCTATTACAGTACTAGGCTGAGAGTTTTCTATACCCCGTCCTTTGATGCAGAGTATAGAACCGTTTCTGGCGTTGCAGGGCCTCTGGTTATCTTGGACAAAGTTAAGGTACGAGTCATTGTTTACTAAATCAAAAAGCTCTTCGGTTTTTCTGTTGTTTCTTTTTGCTGCCATTTCATCCTGTTTTTTGTTTCTTGTTGTTATTTTCAGGGTCCCAAGTATCAAGAGATTGTTAATATTAGATTGGGTGATGGCACCATTCGGCGTGGTCAGGTTTTGGAAGTTGATGGGGAGAAAGCTGTTGTGCAGGTTGAGATTTTACTTCACATTTAGCATTGTACTAGACTAAGCTTGTTATCAGCAGATAAAACGCCTTGTGCTTATTTGCAATATGTAAACATGCATATTAGCGTAATTTGCCCCTCTTATTGAACCACTATGGAACTTCTGGGTTATCAACATTTGCTTTATTTGTTCTAGTTGTTTGATGCTTGTAATTTAGATTATCGTGCATTTAATTGAATCAGTTATTGACTTTTATTTAACGTATATTGATTGTGTTTATTCACCAGTGTATTTATTATTTATTTTTATAATTTATAGTTCTGGATTCAAATATTTTAGTTGCCCTAGTTAGTTGTTAACACTTGCTTGCACATTCTTGATTTAGATATGATTTTTGAATTCATTTGTTATTTCAGGTCTTTGAAGGAACTTCTGGCATTGACATCAAGTATACTACTGTGCAATTTACAGGGGAGGTAAGAAAACAGAACCTAGCAGAGATGCAATTTGGAAAGTGAAAACATAAAATTAAAAAAATCCACAAATTACTGAAGTTTTCCAATTTGTTTAATTTCCTTTCATCCATAATTGTCACTGCATAAATATAAAGTTGATGAAAGCTGCGGAAGAAAATTAGAAAATAAGTCATTAATTACGTGAATCAATGAAATACTGTACTACAGCACATACGTGGATATATATATCCATTTGTTGATAAATGAAAGAATAAAATGCAAAATTCAGTTAGAGATATCTAGTTGCCTTAATTGTTTAACCTTTCTCTCAGAAGGAAAAAGAAAAAAAAAAGATTTAATATACACAAAAAAAGAATCAAGAAAACAGAACCTAGTAGAGATGCATTTTGGAAAGGAAAAACATAAAATTAAATAATCCACAAATGACTGAAGTTTTCCAATTTATTTAATATCTTTTCATCCATTATTGTCGCTGCATAACTACAAAGTTGAAGAAAACTACAAAAGAAAATTAGAAAATAAGTCATTAATTACGGAAATTAATGAAAATACTATACTACATCACATAAGTGGATATATATCCATTTGTTGATAAATACAACAACAACAACATCAAGCCTTTGTCCCATTACGTGGGGTCGGCTACATGAATCCTTTTTTCCATTGTGTCCTGTTAAAAGTCAAATTTTCGTTTAAATTTAATAAAGAAAGATCATGTCTAATATTTTATAGCCAAGTCTTTTTAGGTCTACCTCTACCTTTCTTAACATAAGTCAAATCTAATACCTCCACTTTCTTAAACGAGTCATCAGAAGGCCGCCGTTTTGTATAACCAAATCATGTAAGGCGACTCTCTCTAATCTTATCTTACACTGGAGCTACTCCAACTTTTTCACGTATATGCTCATTTTGTATCCTATCTCTAAGGATAAAGCCACTCTTCTACCTGAGCATCCTCATCTCTGCAACACTTAACTTAGTAATCTGCTTCTCATTTAATTGCCAACATTTGGCACTAAAAAGCATTGTAGGTCTCACCACCATCTTATAGAGTTTTTCTTAAGTTTGAGGGGGACTTTTCTATCACATAACAAGCCCGATGCATTCCTCCACTTCAACCATCCAACTTAAATTCTGCTGATAATATCTCCATCTATTTCACCACCACTCTGAACAATAAATTCAAGATATCTAAAACGTATACTAACAATAGATCCAAAATATCTAAAACGTATACTCTTATTAATGACTTGATTGCCCAAAGTCACAATCCTCTCACTAGGTCTATTACTACTAAAATTATACTTAATATATTCAGTTTTAGATCTACTCAAGTGAAAACTTTTAGACTCTAAGGTTGACCTTCATAATTTAAATTTATATTCAACTCCCTCTCTAGTCTTATCAACAAGAAGAATATCATTAGCAAAAAGCATACACCAAGGTATATCCTCTTGCAAATGTCTAGTGAGAACATCCATGACTACAACAAAAAGATATGGGCTTAAGGCTGATCCTTGATGTAATCCAACCGAAATAGGAAAATACTTGGTCAAACCACCTTTTGTTTGAACAAAGTAATATCTCATGCATACATATCTTTAATGATTTGAATATAAACGTTATTAACTCCTTTCTTTTCAAGAACTCTTCATAGCACTTCTCTTGGAACTTTATCATATGCTTTATCTAAATTAATAAATATCATATGTAGATCCTCTTTATTCTCTCTACATTTCTACATCAAACCTCTCAATAAATGTATGACTTCCATAGTAGACCTACCCAGCATGAATCCAAATTGATTTTGATAAACATTAGTATCACGCCGTAACTTGTGCTCCATAACTCGCTCCCATAGTTTTAAAGTATGACATATTAACTTTATTCTTTTATAATTTGCACAATCTTGTGCATCACCTTTATTCTTAAAAATAAGAATTAACACACTTATTCTCCATTCACTGACATCTTTTAAGTCTTCCAAATAGTATTAAAAAGTGTAGTAAGCCAAAAAATTCTTTGATCTCCAAAGCATTTCCACACCTCTATTGGAATATCATCAGGTCCAACAGCTTTTTCACACTTCATTTTCTTTAAAGCATCTCTAACTTCAGTTTTACTAGCACGTCGATAAAAACAGAAATCTTTACTTTCATTTAGGGTGCTAAGGTCATTAAAGGCAATCATATTTTCACATTTTTCATTAAAAAATTTAGCAAAATATCTCATCTACATTTGTTGAATATCATATTCTAAGAAAAGTACTTTTTGTTCTTCATCCTTAATACACTTTACTTGAACTAAATCCTTACTACTCCTATCTCTTTGTTTGGCTAACTTATACTTATATTTTTCTCCCTCCTTAATATCTAATATATTATATAAATCATTAAAAGTTAAGATTTTTGTATCGCAAATTGTTTTCTTAGATTCTTTTCGTGTTTTTTTATATATTTTCTAATTATCAGAATTTTATTTAAACCAATTTTTATAAGAAATCTTATTATTTTTTTTCTTTTCTTGCACATTTGTATTCTATCACAAATTATTTTTTACTATTAGGAGCTTTTTTCTTTGAAACTCCAAGCACATCTTTTGCAATATTTTTGGTAAGGCAGTTCACTGCTACGATCCAAGGCATGCTTACGATGACCAAAGACTTGGTGAGCAAACAGTGGTGAAGTAGGCTACTTCCCTAAGTAGGGAGTGGATCTTGGATATTGAAGGTGATGCTACAAAGAGATTAGAAGCGTTTTATCCTATCCTGAAGGAGCTGGCGCTTGCTAGTTCTCTAGGTTCCCACTACCGGCCTTTATTGTCGGAATTCTGAGGAATACAGGTTCCCACCACCGGCCTTTATTGTCATAATTATGAGGAATACAGGTTCCCACGATTAGCCTTCATTGTTGGAATTCTGAGGAATATTGATTCTCATGACCGGCATTTGTTGCCAAAATTTTGAGGAATACATGTTCCCACTAGTCTTAATTGCTGGAATTATGAGGAATACAGGCTCCCACCATTGGCCTTTATCACTGGAATTATGAGGAATACTATTCCTTCCACCGACCTTCATTGTTAGAATTCTAAGGAATATTGGTCCTTACGTTTTTTTCATGCATTGAAGACCGAGGAGAAATCGAGCAGGCGGGCTCCTCTCGCATGCAACTTCGAGAGTTGACTAGAGTCGACCGAGTAGAAGCAAGAGAAGCCCAGCGCAAGACTTCTTCTTGCGCTTGTATGGAAAGAGCTGAGAGTTCCCTCTCGTGAGGGTACAGGGCCGGGACAAGCAAGAGTGCAAGACCTGCACTCCTAGGGATCAGACCAGAGGGATCAAATGCATTGAATTTTTTTTTCTTTTGTTAAAATCATGCCTTTGTAAATAAGATGAAGCAAGCTTAGCATCAACTTGTTCACACTAGACAAGTGGTTGCAAATAAAATGTTTTTTTGTGCTCAATCTTAAGGACATTAGTGAGAGAGCGAAGGGAAGTTCCTAAAAAACTTGACTGAGGGTTAGCTGAAACAGTGAGGGGTGGAGTGGAGGTAAAGAGCATGCTTCCAAAGCCCCTTCTTTTTTGTGCACAATAGAATAAAAGGCTATCAAGAACCAGAGTTGTAGAGACATTTCTAGTGTATCATATTCCGATATTTGATGAAAATCTTCATGTTTATTTTTGTCAGAATCATTGTATTAGCATTAGGTTAGTTAATATTGATTTGCGCAGGTTCAATTTTGGTAAAATCCTGTACGAAATTGTTATATTTGGGGAACATTTGATGATGTTCGAACTTATCACGAATTATGTTGTGAGGCAGTGTTGATTTTCTAGACCTTTGGCTATTATTTTTTTTGTTGGGCCGTGGAAATTAGAATTATCTACTTGTGGCCATTTGTTGATTTTTTGAACCCAAAATTGTTCTTTTCTTCCTTTGGTGGTGCGACTTGAAATTGGCATGAATGTTTTTGGATCTTCCATTTTCTCTTCCCTTTTTTGATAGGTGCAATCCAAATTGAAATATTCAATTTGATTATTCAATTCCTTAATGCCAAACCGTGCTTTGCACTCGCAAGGTTTTTGCGTTGGTTGGTCGAGGTGTTAAAATTTTTGGTATTGTGGGCTATCTAATAACACTATTACGCGCTTAGATTGGGTGGGGATGCCATTTGAATAATATCCTTTACTGAAATCAATGAGTTGAAATAGCTGAAATTAATATTATTTAATGGAATTTTAATTTAAATATGGATTAAGCTAATCCTATGGCAACTATATGTACTATTGAATAAATAGGATGATCTGAGACTTGTAATGGAAAAAATACGTTGGCTAAATAAACATTCTCCTTCTAATTTTTGCCTTGTGAGTGCTATTTGGATTTGTGATTCTTTTGAGTGTGGCACAAGCGAACCTACCTAGTTTAAAAAAAAATATTTCCATGTACCAACATGAGGCCTTATTTTTGTGATTTTTGTATTTCCGTATATATATATATATATATTTTTTATTTCATTTACATAATTTGGTATTGACTCATTTGTGCTTTTGATTTTGTTCAAATTTAGCATAACGAAAATTCAATATATGGAAATTAAATTTCTAATGTTTGCTTGGTTTTAAATCCTTGCTAATTTTCTCAAAATTTTTGTATTGTTTTGTTACCAATTGGATTTTAATTCTAGTATTACCTGGTTATATTTAAGGAAAAACAGGTTGTTGAATTAATTGTTTACTTAGTTTTAAATCCTTTTCAATTTTTTTGTTATTAGTTGGATTTTAATTCTTGTATTACCTATTCATATTTAAGGAGAACAAGCTGTTGAATTAATTGGTTTCTTGTGATCTTTTATTTAAGTTCCTTTGTATGAACATACCAAACATCATATTAATTGCGTCAGGAACTTGATTAGTCTTGCATATATCGGTTCCTATTTAGGGATGGCGTTCAATTTGTTATTTATCTCATTCATAAAACTCAAGTATTCACAAATTTTGT